GTTAGGTACAGAACAGTTTGTGCATCAACTGTTATGGGATATTATTTGAAGGGCTGTTCCTTTGCCTGTAGCTTTCCACTCGTATGGGGATGGGCAGAGCTGCTGAGCTGACAAATGTGACTTAAACAGTTGAACCACTTTAACTATGACTTGAACAACATTATTCGATTTGTTAAAGGAAACATCTAAAGCCACTAGTTTCTTGTGTTGGTGACTTATTGTTGGTGGTCAAATGACTTGTTACTCAGACTTTGCAAATCAACCTTTGCTGTGGGCAGAATTACAAATGTGTGGAAGCCTAAGCTGTTCCAGGATCATTCATTCATGTTTGCTGGTACTGCCTGCAAACCAAGCAGTTACCCTCTGTCACTCCTTGCATTTTTCATATACGTTTGTGTAGACAACCCATCTGTGTATTGCACAGGGAAAGGTGTTGGTGGGGTGGGTGGGGTAAATAGTCATGAGTCAGTAGCTTGATATGCTACAGTAGGGGCATGTAATAGCTCACACAAGACACTACCACAAAAACTGACCACACATTGAAGTTTAGCTAAGGAGTTCAGCTGGTGTGTCTTTTTCCTTGAGATGAAAATTTCACCTGTACCCAGTGCTCTACCTGAGTTGAATTCTGCCTGATGTTGTCCTATGGGCATGCTGTGAACCAACCATTTCTGCTGTTGGCTCGTGATGCTGCATTGTTAATGCATTGCTCTTGTAGTACCGTTTGCTGGCAATCTTTTGAGCAAGAATTGAGTTCTCTGATAATACTATGCCAAACAGATGTACATTTCCAACACTAAAAAATAGGTTTTGAGTTAAGATTCAATCCTTAATAGATCCAAGGCCAAGGGATCCAGTATGCTTGCGCATAGTTCTTGGATTGTAGGCAAAAACTGTGTCATCTTGACAACTGGCACTTTGTGAGAACCATCAAACAGATATGTTCAGCATCAGTTCTCCATTTCCTGATAATTCATAAAGGGAAATTTGATGCTTATCTTCAATTTGTTTTAGAAATTTGCGGGATGTGAAAGGGATTTCTGATTATAACAAAGAATCCAAGCACTGGTGCATTTTACTGATGTGTGACTAATAGAATTGCTACTTGTGTTGAGCTTTTTGCTTCTGTTGCTCAGACAGCATTCACGTGAGAGTGAATCTGATCAGTCTTAGTAAGGAACAAAGATGTATATCTTCCCTGGACTGATAGAGACAGATCCACATCTCCTACCAGTTAGTTCATGGTCCACTTGGACAATTTATCCTATTCACATATGTCCTATGTTCAGTAAGAGAGATATACCACCAAACTATGCATGAATCTTCCTACCTAACCCTGGATAAAATTACTCAAGGGATGTTTGATTCACTTCATCCTTCATCCCTAGCTGCCACTTTAGAGTTTCAAAGAATATAATTCAAATAGTTCATATTTTAGGAACAGAAGGAGCATGGGAGAAAATATCTCTTGAGGAAAGAATTAGGTTTATAATGAAACATTAAATTTTGTTATTCCTCCTTATATTAAAAAAAAACTCTGCATGGATTAGTTCTGCATTGTTGCATCCCAAACAGAGGAATAGGAGAGAAAGTTCTGCACTCTTTGCATACTCTCCATATACAATAAAAATAGAAGTTGCTGGGAATACTCAGCAGGTCAGGCAGTATCTATGGAGAGAGGTAAGTGGGTTACGTTTCAGGTCAATGACCTTTCGTCAGAACTGACGAGTTGACGATTGACTAAACCTTCACAATGTTTTATTTGCTTCAGAAGATAAACATTTATATATTTTTGTGGTGTTAGGAAATATTAACATTGAGGTGTTGAAATGAATTTTATGCAACATGCCCCTTTAAAGTGGTACATTAATTACTGATAGTATTTACAGTTCTGTTGCAGTGTCTGCACAGAATACAGTTTAGAGTTTATTGGTCTGTACTTTGGGTTATTAATCTTTACACGTGTAATCATGTAACTAAGCAAGTAAATATGAATTTTCTGTTGAAGAAACTGAACGCAAAGCCTTGTAATAGTGACAATCTAATTTGTTTGAAGGTAGATACTCCTTTGTTGAACTGCACATTTAACAATTAGCATGTATATGTTTTGAAAGATTCCTGTATGTAGTGTTTTACAAGTACAGGTTGAACAAAAAGCATATACTGAGAACTTGAATGAAGTCAAAATGTTGAACTTCAAAATGTAGTGTCTCCTAAATTGAAATGGAATCACATATTGTCTGTGTGAGCATATTGTGTCAATGCTGGTGCTTAAATATTGAATATGGCTCAAAATATAATTAGGCTAAAAATGGTAAACTATTTGAATCTAAGTGTTTTGCTCTGAGTGAAGTCTCTGGAGTACTTCAGCAGATGAAGTGAATGTTTACACAAATGACAACTGTAGGTTCTTTGTTTGGGTTGCCAGTTTGTGTCAAGTCTATAACCGATAGGGACATTGAAGAGATGCAAAGATGGGATTGTGGCTTTTGTTCTGCTGTTTGCTTTGATGATGATGGAAACTCATTCAAAACTGTGATAACAATGCTTAGGAATATAACGAGGCCCACCCCACCTTTTTGTTAGTTCATGTTGCCTCTTTATCTGGCAACAGAAAGATGCCTGAAGGAAAACATTTCTCGAGGAAATAATTAGGTTTGAAATGGAATGTTCATGTTTTTGATATGTCCTTTAAAAAAGGTTTAAATAAGTTTCAAGAATGAGTGAACTGTTCATTGATTACCTTGTAAAGCATTCAGTATGCAGGAGGTAATAAATTTATGCTACAAGGTGCTTGCCAAGATATATATATAGAGAGAGAGAATACGTCTCTCTACAAATAATATATATAAAATATACATATACCAATATATATTACCAATATAACTTTGCTTGGTTTTATTATTGAATTTTGTGCTCATCAAGACAGACTGGTATGCGTTACAATCTTGTCTTTCTCAGCTATATTTATAGCGATTTGCTTGCTGACCTAGTCTGCTAGTCCTATATCATTAACACTGATCACAGCTGTGCTAAAATCCCCTTGTGAATTTGACCACAGTTTGGATTAAGAACCTGTCTCTTTCAGAAGGCAGAATATCTATTGCTAGTCTTTGTAGCATTGCAGGAATAGGCAGATAAATGGTGGTGTGAAACTGCTCTTAGGTTGCAGATAGACGTATATATGGCAAAACAAACATACAACAATATACTTATTGTACTTCATTTCAAACTGTACTAATCCTGATTTCTAAGACCCACATGGATAGATTAACAGTTCCCTCCTTCTGGGCTGCTTACAGAGGTACCAGCACCAGCCTCTCACTTAGAGTAATGGTTATTTTTTACACTCAATAGATTTCCTGGGATAGCAATGCAACCCAAGCAAGAATGTCAAATCAGTGATCAAATTATTGTCAGCATTTAAATATTCGAGTTCTTCTCAGTGATGGGAAGTTTCACATAAAAAAATTCATTTCTTAAATACAGTTTTAATTTTGAAGCCAATTTTCTGTAGTTTCCTTTAAGAATAACAGAGAACCAGCTTCAAAGTTAAGATCAAATTCAGCAATTACCAAATTCTGGATGCTTTGCAACAGCAACAACAACATGTATTTATATAGTGCCCTTCAGGCGGGGCAGCTTTTTGGAGCACTTAGCAAGGCTGTGTTAATGGAGTAAATATTGACCCAAGTGGAATTTTACCCCAATATTTTTTAGAATTGTAATAGTTATGCTTTTTAAATAAATAAATCTGTTAAGAAATGCAGCAAACTAGTCCTTAATGTACCTGAGCTGTTGCTGCATAACAGCATTCTGTGCTGTGCTAGTGTGACATTTTCGATTTCCTGCACCAGCCATCTTTAAAGGTTTTCTAAAAGTTAATTTATGCCAACATGCAGTGGTATGCTGTGGCATATACCTCCTAAGAACTAGATTTACAGTACTCTAAACCTATTTCACAAAGGTCCTTTGCAGCCAATGAAGAGAAGTGGCCTCCTTAATCATCTCAATATAGGATGTATTTGAGTTGAGGTCCCAAAGGTGAAAAGGCAGGGTACTTAATCCAAAGCATCATCCAGTCTCTTCCTCTTAGATTTTATTATGAGAATAATTTAAATCTGTTGCAGATGTAATAAGTTAAATAATGTTGTAATGGTGTTACAGACAGTTTTAAGGAAAATATTTTAAAAGTTAAATCGTTATCTTGATGGCAAGTTGTGCTTTTATGGATAGTAAGTACTATGATGATACTGTAAGATTTTAACCTCTTCTACCCCCCTCCTGTGTGAATGCTGATCTACCTGATATTCTGCAATGGCCACATTTAATGGTCACTGCAGCATCTATCTTAGCCATACATATTATGCCCTGTTCTGCTTTTGTAACAACTGCAATTGTTCACACAATGCATGGCTGGATCCCTGTCCCACTGAGCATATGACACCAACCATCTGAACTGTCAAAGGCCCTGAAAAACACAAGCAAATACTGTTGCCCCATAAGATCAGCATGACCCATGTAGTTGAACCTTATGAAGCAACCTCCTCTTTGCCTGATTCACTGTCTCCTGCCATCATTGGAGAGTGGGATAGAGATTTCAGCAGCCTGGTGCTAGCTTTATATCTGTCAGGTCACGAATCATGGTCCAGCTGCCAGTGACACCATTGCCAGTCTCTCCACTCCTAGTTGCTGGCAACAGAAGTCCCCACCCCCCATCTGAGCTATCTTAAATGATTGAGACTTTTTTTAACGTCTAAGATAATTAAAGATTTGTGTGGCGCCAGTCATGTGTTAAGTCCAATTGTGCTCCTTAATGTACATTAGTTTAGTACATTACTTGTGTATGATTGGCTCATGAATTTTGGAACCAGTTCTTCAGAGTTGGTAACAAAGTGAAGTGGGGTCATAGTTGATTTGTAATCTACAGTGTCATTGCATTGATTATTCAGTTAATGTAGTGGAACAATTTGAGCACTCTTTAATTTCACATTGAGTAGCTTTCAGAAGTCTCAGAGGATAAGCCAGCTGGAAGCTCACTGATGGAAACAGAAGTGGACCTGGACAGCTACCAGATTGAACTGGAGGAGGTGTTGACCTGGCTGCTTTCAGCTGAAGATTCACTACAGGCTCAGGATGAGGTTTCAGATGATGTGGAGGAAGTCAAGGAGCAATTTCATATCCATGAAGTAAGTGCATGACCTGAAAGAATAAAACACATCTATTAATTTTAATTATTTAAAAATGAAATCTAAGTGTACTACCATCACCCACAACCTTTTTTTGTTAACCTTCTATCCAAGGGAGGTAAATTCTTGAGCTTAATACACTAATGATGAATTTCATATTTTCTGACCGAGTTCAGTGTGGTATTTGCTGTATCTTGACATCTCGTGCATTATATGTCTAATTTGCTTTTGGCAGGGCTTTATGATGGAGCTAACAGCACATCAAGGCAGCGTGGGTAACATTTTGCAGGCTGGAAACCAACTCATTGTAGATGGAAAACTAGATGAAGATGAAGAAAATGAAATTCAGGAGCAGATGAACTTGCTCAACTCCCGATGGGAAAATCTCAGGGTAGCCAGCATGGAGAGACAAAGCAAGTAAGTAAAAGGAATTATCTATCCTGGAAAGGGTTCCAAGCTTGCTCATTATATAAAACATTGCTTGTTTATTTGGCCTGCTGCCTTATATCAACCTGGCTACAAAATACTTAACAGATATGTCAACATGAATGCCAAAATGTAGATTATCAAAACAAATACCTGACGTCATTGGTCCCTACGTGGTTTATACAACACAGAGCATGTTGTTTGAGCAATGACTTGGTGAGCTGGAGGACTCTTCAGCCACGAAAAGAGATATCTCGGGGTGGGGGGGGGGGGCTGGTGTTCTTGGGGTATATAAGAGTTTTGCATGAGATTCCAGGATGTAATTATTTATCCATAGGACTTTAACAACTGGAATGGATTACCACTCATTTAAAATAAAGCTGGATGTGTTGATGGAAGGACGGTAGGGTGGGTATTCTGTTAGGTTCAGGTCAAATAGATTCAGTGGCTTTCTTCATCAAAGCCTCACTGTGATCTTATGATCACCTGAATCAATTTGGAGACAGTGGAAGGTGTAGAGTAGGAGTGTGATGTAAGCCACAATGCTGATAATTGAATATATTTCCTCCATCATCATTTACAGCCTCATTCACTTGCTTGTCACTTTCCACTTGCTCTTTCTTAGCTGTCATTCAAAACTTCCATGTCAGACTCTTTCCAGCTTTCTTATGCACAGGGAATGAAGTGTGCCACTTGTCATTCTCATCTTGACTGTTGATCTGCTTTTTATAAACCAGTTGATAACAAAGACACAAAACAAATCTTGTGAGTTTAAACGAATTGTGCTTAGCTTTTCATTTTAGGTTGCCCAAACTTCACTCCTGTATAGAACAGCAGGTTACACGTTACAATTATCCTGCTATAAACCTGTTGCTGTATTTTTGTCTTGATTTTCATTGTATATTTCCTGTGTACAGTTGAAAGTGAACAAACCCAGAACATTTACAGAAACCATGAAACATTATCCATACTTTCATTCCTGTGTTTGTAATGCACTCTTCATGTATTTACTCATGTTTCTCCCTGTACATTTTAGGAAGGTAGTATATCAAAAGTGTCAGATCTGTCAGATTGTGAATACTTGCCCGTTTCTGTAGACAGCCAATAAATCCCATAAATATGAGAAACCCAATATTGATGGAAATACTAAAAATCTGCTAACTGCAGTTTTGAGGGGTTCATGCTTGTCAATGCTAAAGGATTTTATTTTCAGTTCCAGATCGTTTTGTACAGCTTAATATAAAATATCAATGTTAGGCATCCCTGGATACATCTAATCAATGGCAGCTAGATGTTCAATTGTTAATTATTTTGCAATTCCTGAACTTCTTTATCTTTTGGCAGTTCATCATCAATACTTTTTTAATATCGTGCAGAGACTATCTGTCCAACACCTTTCATAAAGTGATTTGTGCAACAATGAAGCATCAGTAGTTTCTGGACTGATATGAACGTCCCAGATATTTATTTCATTGTGATTATTGGCTTGAAACACTATTGTGGGACTCAACTCGTTTAGCTGCTTCATGTCACCGTATTGACCATTTTGGCATCTGTTCTGTTCATTTCCTTCATGTGGCAAATCTTCCTTGTCCTTTTTTGGCAGGATTTGACATTCTTGAATTTTGTCTGTATTCCTCATTAAGACTTTGATTTGTGCACTGTAAATATTTTGTCAGCCTGTCTTAAATCAGTGCTTTGCTTCATTCTGCTTGTTCTACACCTTCTGAAAGAGCCATTGACTGACACATTCGTTTGTTATACCACTTTCCCTGTGCAAAGCTATCATCAAGGTAAATATTCAAATTCTTTAGACGTTATTATATCAAAACTTTGAGGAAATAACCTGAATCATGGTTGTTTCAGGTTATTTCAACAGGCGCAAAATGTATAAAATCAGCCTGGGCCTCAAATACAACTCCCACTGCTTAATGAATACTGAGGAGCGTGAAAATCAAGGCGCAGGGACTTATTCAAAATATTTATCTAAATTTGATTTAGGTTTTCCATTTGAAGAAAGTTAGATTAATCCAAATGCTAAATAAATGGCTTCCATGGAATGTGTAGAATGTCAAATTAATGATTTGATCAAGAGTAATTTTAAAGCAAGTTATGTCAAAGGATATTTTATTTTTTGCATGAATGCTGGTTGCTTGAGTTGAGTGTTTTGGGTGGTAATTTCTCAGTGCCAGCAAAAAATTGTTTAAGTGGTAGGGGAGGTGTTCTGGAAAGATTAAATCAGATCAAATAATCTTGTGAACTTCATCCCATGTTTTTTTAGGACCAGTATATGTCAGTCCCTGATACTGTAGTTTGCTGTAGACTTTCCCACTTGTGCATAGCTGTAATTTAAATTCAGTCTCGAGTTAGATGGTCTATATTTTTGACCTTCTAAAATCTGACATCCAGATAAATCAGAACATTCATCTGTAACTAAAGCTTCAGTTTCCACAAAGCCATGATAAACGTCCTTCATCATTACTGGGACAGAACTTGTGTTAATGGTATCATGACCTGGAAGTATTCCACCACTAATTCTGACAAGCTAATCCTGAGAAATGTAATGCAGTTCCATAAATCTGACTTCTCCTAACAGATTGTACACTTTACTCTTGTAATTCTGAAATAGGTGTCATCAGTATTAATCTTGACTTCCTGAGCAGCTGCTGCAGGGAACATTTATCGGTCTGAAGTATTAAATTAATTATTTTATATTAATTGAACAATGTGTAATATTGTTTGAGGGTGTCAGTCAGTCCTGATATGTTTTAAGCTGGCTGAAATACAAGGACTGTTCTTGATACTCAGGTGAAAGCAGCAGCCAAGTTGCATATAGCAATGTGCTACAAACAGCCATAAGGTAAATAATCAATTTTTATCTGGGGGATTGTTGGCCAGAAAATGAGGAGGAACTCACTTCTGTTTCTAATGCTTATGAGATCTTTAACGTCGACTTGAACTCAGATGGGATCTCAGTTTAATGTCTCATCTGAAAGTCATTTGATAACATTTGATAACACAGCACTTCCCAGCACTACACTTAGACTATGAGCTCAAAAGTCCTGACTTGTTTTTTTGGGGGTCAGCCAGGTGTTTGACACATGTGGAAGCCAGTTACCATGCTGAAGAGTATCCAAATCAAATTGAGAATTCAATGCATCCCACTTTCACATGGAAATTCCAGAAATATTTATTGGAATGGAATGCGCACTCTCTCCCAAAAGGAGTGCATCCTGCTTATCTAATTCCAGAAAATATTAGGCCCAGCTTGCCACTAAGAGCACTGCTTGGAAAGATTTCCCACTGCTTGTACAGCTCAGACCATCCTCGCCATTAAGGCTTTGCTTGCAGGTTAGCGGGAGGTGAGTGGGAAGAGGCTCTTCTCCCAGTGCCTGCCCTTCCAAGTTCTGCCAGTGAGCCAGCCTGGCTGTGCTGTGACCTTGTAATTGGGACTTGAATCCATAACCTTCTGAGCCAGAGATGAGAGTAGCCCTACTGAGAATTGATACCTTTTTTCCCACCCCATTATAAACAGCCGTCCCTGGACCCCATCTCTGCTCTCAAACTACTGCCCCATCTCCAACCTTCCTTTCCTCTCCAAGGTCCTGGAATGAGTTTTTGCTTCCCAGCTTCGCTCCTTCCTCTCCCGCCACTCCCTTCACGAACCCCTCCAATTGGGCTTCTGTGCCATCCAGAGCACAGAAACAGCCCTGGTCAAAGTGACAAATTGACATACTGACCATCCGCGACCAGGGCTTCTTCTGCCTCCTTGTCCTCCTTGACCTCTCTGCTGCCTTCGACACCGTCGACCACTCTATTCTCATCCACCGCCTCTCCTCTCACCTCAACCTTCACAGCTCTGTCCTTGACTGGTTCAGATCGTACCTTTCACAACGCCTGTGAAGCAGGCTGGAACCCGCTGAGCGAAGGGAGCGAGCACGGTCCTCACCTCACCTGGTCCTCGCCTTCAAAGCCCTCCATGGTCTTGCTCTCACATCTCCACTTCATCTCCACAAACAGTTTCTCCTCTAGACCCCGCACTGTCTCATGTGGCATTCCTCAGGGCTCTGTCCTTGGTCTCCTCCTCTTCAATATCTATGTGCTCCCTCTTGGTGACATCATCGGCAGTCATGGGGTCAACTTCCACATGTATGCAGATGACACCCAACTGTACTTCTCTGTCTCCACCCTTGACTCCAGGACCACTGTTGTCCTATCAGACATCAAGTCCTGGATGAGAGCTAATTTTCTTCAGTTGAACGTCAACAAGATTGAGGCTCTCCTGATTGGCTCCCGTCAGCGCCTCCACACCTCAGGTGGTGACAGCATCACCGTTTATGGTTGCACATTCCTAAGCCAGTCCGGAAACTTGGCGTCTTGTTTGACCCTCAACTATCCTTTCTACCCCACATCTATGCCATGGCCCACTCTTCTCAACATCGGCAAACTCCGCCACTGTCTCACTTCGCAGGCCGCCGAAACCCTCATAGTCGCTTTCATTACATCGAGGCTTGACTATGCAAACTCCTTGCTTGTCGGCCTCCCCAACTCCTCCCTCCATAGGTTGCAGATTATCCAGAACTCTGCAGCCTGTGTCCTCTCCTGCACCAGGCTCCGCGACCCTAACACACCCATCCTCGCCCGACTTCACTGGCTTCCTATCAGACAAAGGATACAGTTCAAGATCCCGGTCCTCACCTTCAGAGCCCTCCAGGGTCTTGCTCCCTCCTACCTCTGCGATCTTCCAACCATCCTGCTCGCTCCCTCCGCTCAGCGGATTCCGGCCTACTTCTTCTCCGCCTCGCTTGCCCCACTGTTGGCGGGTGGGCGTTCTGCCACTCTGCTACCACCTTCTGGCTCTCCATCCTGCAGTCCCTCCAACTCACCCACTCCCTTGCCTCTTTCTAGACCCATCTCAAGACCCTCCTCTTCAACCGTGCTTTCGATCTCCCTGCTTTCCTCCCTGCCCTCCACCTTCCCCAATCCCAACCCCCAGCTTGGGTCCGAAACTCTGTCTGTCCAGCGCCTTGGGACATTCTCCCGATGTGAAAGTGCTTTACAAATGTAATTTTGTTGTTTTTTGAGAAGGTTACGATTAGAATTTTTGTAGTAATCATAAGGAGGGTTCCTCTCACTGAATGTGGGTTGGTGAAACTTTACAGAACGAATCTGATTCTGCAGTCAGTGGGCACCAAGCCAGGCTGGGACTTAAAAGATCTTGATAAACTGAACAGGCGCATGATTGAGCTGTGTAGTGCCATTATTCCATCTTTGTTAAAATTAGACTCTTTTCTTAAAAAAAATTGGAGTTTAAAGTACTAAAGTGTCAACAAAAACAGAAGCTGCTGGGAACACTCAGCAGACCAGGCAGCATCGTGGCTCACTTGGTAACATTCTTGCCTCTGGGTCACAAGGTTGTGGGTTCAACATCTGGCCTTCTGTTTCTTATGTTGACTAACTCTCCAGCACAGCAGCTTTAGATATCAAACAGATGTTCTGCCTGCCTATTCTTCAGATGGCTGTTAAAGATCTCACGGCACTTGTGAAAAAGAGAAGGGAGTTTCTGCTAGTGTCCGAGCCAACAGTTGTTTATCTCATAGCTAGTTGTAGGATTTTACTGTGTGCAAAATGACTGCTGTACATAGGAAACCTTTGCTCACAAAATCCATGCATTCACCCCACTTTGCAGTACTTTACTTTGAAGCGCTTTGAGCCCACTCAACGATGTAAAGTGCTGTATCAAATCCAGTAACAGTAATTAGTGAGAAGTGCTTTAATTTTTGACGTTGTAATATTAATCCTTGCATTTGATATAGCGCTTTTCACGTCGGGAGGACATCCCAAAGCGCTTCACAGAACACACTGTAAAGTGAATTGACTGTATGTTGGGCGAACGCGGCAGCCAATTGCGCACAGCAATGTCCCACAAACAGTCGTAGATTGAAAATGACCAATTTATTATTGTTTTTGGTTTTGGAGGGATTATTATTAGGCGTGTGGAGTAAGGAAACTTGCCCAAGGTTTCGCCCTGCCTGGAATTGAACTCAGGTCTCTCGCTTGCAAAGCGAGTGCTCTAACCACTGAGCTACAGGACTGCATATATATAGACGTATTTGACTACTTACCTCTCCGACCCCATATTAGCCTGTCCGTTCCCTCCACTCGGCGGACACCGGTCTGCTTCAGGTCTCCCACACTTCCCGCCCCACCATTGGCGATCGGGCATTCAGCATCTCTGCCCCCACACTCTGGAACTCTACCCGTAATCCCTCCACCTCACCCCCTCTCTCGCCTCCTTCAAGTCCTCTCTGAAAACTTACCTCTTCGACCATGCTTTCAGCCACCCTCCCACCCCCATTGCCCTCCTCCCCTTCTGACCCCAACTCCCAATTCGCGTAAAAAATCCTTGATTGTCCAGCGCCTTGCTGCTACATTTGGGCACTAATTTCGCCAAAAAAATAGACAGTGAATCCACTTTACAATATATTCTGTGAAATGCTTTGAGACGTTTGATGACGTGACAACGCACTGTGTCAAATACAAAGATTATTATTATCAATTATTGCGATATAAAATGCAAGCTTTTACTGAATTTTATTATTTTATTGAATTTCTAAGTATTTTTGTCATCTGAATAGTACACCAAAAGGTGTAATATTTAACCCTCACCAGACATTAATAGCAATGATTTTATTGATCGTGGAGCATGCCAGTAGCCACGGGAGTTTCTGCTCTATTTCATTCTGATTAATGAAACCTTCTCATTGAAATTTGTTTGGAAAAAGTTCACAAAATGGTTGTGGCTCTGCAACCAGAATGGGTACCAGTCTTTGCTGGACTCTAATTATAACATTGATCAAAGCAACACAAATGAAGGTTTCACTTTAGTCTTAATTACATGTTGGCAGAAAAGTTCTGTCAGTTCTCACGAGGGATCTTGTGGTTTGTTTGAAAATATCTAATGAATAAAACCCAGAACATGAACGATGGACCACTTGGCTGGTCATCGCACTTAATGCATTGGTATCCAAATATGCTTTTTCAGTAGTTGTGTTTTTCAACCTATACGTTTGGGGGTTGTGCAGAGATACAGTACTCCTCCATAGGGAGGGAAAGATCATAAGGTGAAACTATTCTTTCCTAGCAAATCACCATGAGCAAATAAATAATTGATTTGTGTTGAGTACTGATCCATATTTAAGAACATCACAGATATGATGTTGTCCAGCACTGGAAATGATATAGAGCACTCGCCTTGCAAGCGAGAGACCTGGCTTCTATTCCCGGCAGGGTGAAACCTTGGGCAAATTTCCTTCCTCCACACACCTGATAATAATTCCTCAAGAAAAAAGGACCAATAACAAAATTGTCACTTCAGTCTACGACTGTTTGTGGGACACTGCTGTGCGCAATTGGCTGCCACGTTTTGCCCACAAATATACAGTCAACTCACTTTATAGTATATTCTGTGAAGCACTTTGAGACGTCTAGAAGAAGTGAAAAGCGCTATATCAAATGCAAGGATTATTATTATTATGATAGATTTGTATTGAAGTGTACTTGGCATCTTGTGGATGCAGTGGGAAAAATGCATTGTGGAGCTAGTCTCTGGTAAACTACCTCTCTTCTTCCCTCCATTTACTGCTTTTGAAAAATAAATCAGGTCCTGCTTCACTGGTGATCCTCGGTGTTATGACATAAACAAAACAAAAAAAATGCAGAGCCATCATGGCTTTTTTTAAAGCTGTGATAATATGTCCCACGTACGCTACCACACATACACAATCTAAGAATGAAGGAGATTGAGGCACAGGCACAAATTTGATTTCCTTTTTTGAAAAAAAGGTCAATTGTTCACTCAGAGTCCTTTATAGAAAAAAAACAAAGTAACATGATTTGAAATATCAGGGGCTCGAATGATAGTTTTGCTCCAGCCTATCTTTATCACTTCTCGTACAGTAATCTGATTTGACAGCGAGAGGACCTTGAAGTGCAATATGTGAGTGTGAATTTGTCAAATGCTGTCTGACCTCTGTATTAGAGATAATATCAGATTGTGCTGCAACTGCTACTAACTGGTCTTCACTGAGAATCTGGATGACAGCTACCTTCCCTTTGCTAAGCTAAGAGAAGTGACACCATTTCTCAAACATTTTTCCTTATTATTTTTGATCAAGTAGAATTGGAAGGTGGCAACTCTGCCCTGTTACTCATCCACAGCATAAATTATACAGAGGTGATCCACAGAATGCTAAAGATGTATCCCTTGTCTTTGCATTGTGTCTCTTCAGTGTGTAATGATAATTGTGTGAAATCAAACACAAATGGAATCTTCTGTTGCAGGAAAAAGGTGGTGAATTAACTATTTTTTATTCTCTAACCTACCAATGGGGGACCAGCACAAAACACAAATCTGTTTGATCTTATTGATGGATATCTGATTGATGAAAAGCCAGTTGGGGCTTTGGGACTCTGCTTTTCTGTTTAAAATTAGGTCGTGGCAGTATTTCTTCTGCTAGAAGTTAGGATTGCAACCTCAGGTCTGACTTAAAACTACAAGACCTACAAGGTTTGACAAAGCAGAGCTGAAGTCCTATTTCTAAAATAGTTAACCTGGATGCCAGCTTTATTTTTGTTAACATGAACATGCTGCATAACAAATAGTGTGATGTCAAGACTTATGAGCGAAGTTGATGAGATTCTCTTGGTATTCTGTATGATTTATCTGAGATTCAAGTTGCTGGCAGTTAAAGCCCACTTGAGAGGAAGCCACTTCTGAAGACTTGTACCATTAGCTATAAATCAATTGAACAAACCATGTAGGTATAGAGAGAGAGCTTCAGATAGAATTAAGCAAATATGCCATGGGACCAATGAGTTGTTGCTTTAGATGGTTGGGGGGAAATGAGGGGTGGAGAAAAGAATGTTTTCTGTGGACAGGTGAGGGTAAAATAGCAGAAAATTGGCATTGATTCTGGAATGCTGGTTTGATTATCTCAGGGGTTCACTGAGCATCTATAAAGTACTTCTTCCAGGAGTTAAAATGGAGAATAATAATCTTATATTTGATATAGTGCCTTTCCCATTGGGAGAATATCTTAAAGCGCTTCACAGGGATTTGTGTAAGGCGTTGTGACTGTGTGTTTTGTAGTTAAATGGTGGAGTCAAGTTGACCACAACAATGACCTACAAACAGCAATGAGGGTAAAATCAGTATTAGGTTGGGCTTTACTTGGCTGTGGAAGTTTGCTATGCCTGTTCCGCTGTTCTGTGCTTTCTTCTAATCTAGTAGCAAATATTTGTCACCTTGTTTCCAGGTTACATGAAGTGCTAATGGACCTTCAACAGCAACAGCTGAAGCATTTAGCTGAGTGGTTAACAAGAACGGAGGTCAGAATTCACCAAATGGAGGCACAGCCCCTCGGACCAGACCTGGAGGCATTAAAACAACAAGTGGAGGAGCATAAAGTGAGTCTGCAGCTTAATAATAATAACCCTTACATTTGGTATAGTGCCTTTCACATTAACATTGTGTACCAAAACGGTTTACAAGATGCACTGTAATTTGCAGTGACTTTGTATTTTCTATGCAATTTTCCTGAGGAAGTGGAGTTTGCAGCTTACAAAATAACATTTTCGATAGCCGAAGTTTATCTGATGATGAAATATCCTCTATTAAATCACAGGCCACTGTGAAGCAGGAAATAGTATTGTGAATCTTCAGGTGATTTTTGAATAATTGCTTTAATTTTTTGTTTTTTGAAACCAAAATCGGAGACATTTTATTTCTAAATGCCTGAACTGTTAACAACCTACAATGTATAACACCAATTGTGTACTCTGGGTAACCTTTGTGAAACAGTTGGTATTTTCATAGTATTAGCAGTAATACAAGATGATGTTACTGTAGAATTTTGCATGAGACCTGAGGCATGTTTCTACGTTATCCACCAGGATGAATAGTGAACATTTAGTGACCTAAAAAGGGTTTTTGTAACACTAAGACTGATCTAATTGATCATCACAATCTGCCGTATGACTTTTTTTATGCAGCAGTGACCTAGTTTATGCAGTTTGCTAAATATTATCTTTATCTGAGCGCCTTTCCAGGCAGAAGGAATAAATATATTTTTCCTGTGGGTATTTAAGTAAAATTACTTGAAACATCTCGTTCCATTTTAATTCCTGGTGGATTTGCCATGAAAATAAAAGTCTTTAAATTATTAATTCGCCCGGTTCAGTTGTTAGTAATTTTGCCTCTGAGTCGGTAGGTTGTGGATTCAAGCCCCATGTGAGCTTGCAGTCTAGGCTGACACACAGATACAGCAGCACTGAGGGAGTGCTGCAGTGTCAGACTGGCGAGGCTGCTCTACATGTGTGTTAATCCGATTCCTGTTCAGGTGGTGACATTACAGACCCCCGTGGAGTTATTAAAAAAAAGTTTTTCCCCAGTCAACATTGTCCCCGATAAAATTGGCTGTTCATTTCAGGACTGGTTGTAGGACATTGTTCTGCTCAAATTGGTTGCTGCATTCGCCTACAAAATACGCAGTCACTGTACTTTACACAAACTTTGTAAAGCTCTTTGAGATGTTGTCAATGTTATAGGCGCTATGTCAGATACAAGGGTTATTTTAATTAACATCCACTCAGAGAGCAAACAGGGGAGAATGAAATCAGATAAGAGTAACAATGGCTCAGTACCTTCTGCATCGAACTTGGGAGGATATTTTTAGACGTTTTATCCATCTCAAAATGTGAAGGGCTTAGTGGACGCAGTGCAATTCAAATCCAAGGCTTTCTGCTGCCAAATCTGATGTTCAGCCTTGGGATGATAAAATAAACTGGGTTTATGTTGGGGACAGATTTTTGGGCTAGAATCAAGTAATTGCATCTAACACATATCCCACAATCGGGTAAAAATGTCTCGCCCTCATAACCACCCAAGCATAGAGAAACTAAAACAAAAATAGTGTCCTTGCTATAACAGTTTGGATAAAAGTTTCAGTGAAATGAACACATTCCTTTTATTCCTCTTTAGGTTCTTCAGGAAGACCTGGAACAGGAGCAGGTCCGGGTCAACTCTCTGACTCATATGGTGGTCGTGGTGGATGAGAGCAATGGAGAGAGTGCTACAGTTGCTCTGGAGGAAGAGCTTCAGGTAAGAATTGTAGATGATTGGTTCAGAGACAGAGTTGGTCACTGCAAGGCTTCAAGAATGGCATATCAAAACTCAAATGTTTTTTCTCTGCTTATCGGACTTTACACATATAGGAAAATCCTAAAAGTTTCTTCCGGTGTCCTGACCAACAATCCTCCAGATAAAATTAGTCATTCACTTCATGGTTGTTTGTGGGATATTGCTGTGGGGAAATTGGGTGCCATGTTCACCTACAAAAGATACAGTCACTATAGTAAATTCTGTGAAGCGCTTTGAGATGTCCTCCTGATGTGAAAGTGCTTAATCAAAATATTGTTAGTGGCCAACAATAAAAGTAATTATGGTTTTGCACCTCTATAGAGAATGGGATTATAATAGCTGTTGAATGGGAAAACTGCAGCACAAATGGTGTGAACATTGGGATAAAGGACTGGGACACAATGTATGTCTGTACTGCACTGTAGGGACACTGTTCTGAGGCGATCTCAGAAAAGAGCTGTGAGTTGGTGAGATAGGCTTCTCTGAAGTAGATGCACTTTATATCCCAAGGTGTTTTTCTCAGCTTTTTCTTGTTAAAGTATTTTTTTTCAATCCTATTGTCGCCAACCTTAGATCCAGCAACTGAGGAAGGATAAACAGTCAGGAAGGTTGGCCCATGAGCATTAAAAATCATCCAATTATAGAAATTATACAGCGTCAAATGTCTTCATGTCAAGTGATGTTAGAAATTTAGGATTTAGAAAATTCTAGGTTTAAATCCCAGTGGGGTAATTTAGCCTTACACTGCTGAAGTTCATGAAATGGGCAATGTGCCTTAAAACTATACATTGTGTGAGCTAGGGGAAAGATCTAGCTAAGTGTGTGTGTGGTAGTTTGCGGGGGGGGGGGTGGCGTTTTTTTTGGCATATTGGCTCTGTGGAGATATGCTTGGTGAAAGCAAGGCAATGATGTTAATCATCTTGTCTGGCTTAAAAATGACATGCATGGTCTCAACGCAAAGCCCGAAACAATAGCTCGACAAATATTTGAAACTTCCCAATGCTTTAGAATGATAAACTGTATAGTTACCAAATCCCATTATCCCCTCCCACACATATTAAGTCAAGTGTTACACATGTTCTGCACTGAGGCCAAGGGAACAGCACTTGGTTGGCTTGATTATAAACAGCTTAAATGAACCAAGCACAGTTGGATTAGTTTGGACTTGAGGCCAGGATTTGTATTTGCTCCTACCATCCTTGCCACCATCAGTTCCCATATAAGTGATTTTGTAGGTAATTGATTCTTTTTGAAAAACAAAAGTGAATATGTTATATACAGCTGCCTTGTTGCATTATTTGGGTCTAGTGACGTTGAAATGTCTAATTACTGCATAAGAGGAGGTCAGTTGGCCTATTGAGTTTTTGGTGGCATTTCCTTCTCCATTGAAACTAAATTAACTGCACAAATCCTAATTCCCTGCTCATTCCCATATCCTTTCACATGTATATACAAAATAATAAAATGAACCAGTAGCTTGTGTTTTCCCTATTCAGATGGTTCATGTCAACACAGCATTATCATCACAAGGAGCACTGATCAGCAGCCAAGCATATTTTAAGACAGGATCTCTACATTTGGAGACTGTTGAGTGAAGTCTTGTTTATTGTTTTACCTCAAGTGAAAATATTTTCGTGTCTTAGTGAAATTATTTTCTCATCTAAACCCATGTTTTATAGGGGAAGTCAGTGAATGTTACTGGCCTAAGTCCCAACTTCAGAAATTAAGCAAATATTATGCTGATAAAACTCCTGAGGTGAAATATTTGCACGAGGCTATAAATATAAGAGATTAATTGGCTTAGCAAGGGGCCCTAATTCACATTGGGATTCTCATCTCATGCTTATCATTCCTAATGGCCAAGAATAAAAATGTTACACCTAAAATAGACTTCAAAATGGGTAAGGTTGAACTACCTATTCCTGGACACAGTGCATGGTTGAGCAGTCTTTACATTGGATTATAACTGTATATTTTAATCAGCTCTCGTTCCACTGTAGATATTACTCAGTGATGTGTGATTGACAAGACTTATTAAACATTTACCATAAAGAAGGAATTATTTCAGTTCTTCAGTGTTTTCAGCCCTGCAGAGAATGTTATAGCACCCGCATTGAACTCAATTGGCTCAACAGCTTTACTCTGCTGTCAGGGTAATGTCTTCAGTGTCAAAGTTTACTTTTTTCTTTACCTTGGGACGTTTATTTTGAATCTACCCCTTGCAGCGCAGGAGACTGAAAATATGCATGCTTCTTAGCCTGACTCCACATTAGTGATATTTTCACACTAATAGGGAAATGTGGGGCAAGGAAGTGTAATCAAGTACAAGAGCTGGAACATTGAATTTTGTTTGTTACCAGTGTCAAGACTGAAAGAAGCACTGACTGGAAAAAACTTCAATGTCTAAGGCCGTCTGCTTATAATAATAGTAATAATATTAATAATAATTATTATTATAATTTCATGTCAAGAGGATGTCTCGAAGCGCTTCACAGTATATACTCTTAAAGTGCAGTGACTGGAGTTGTATGCAAACTCAACAGCCAATTTGTGCACAGTAATGTCCAATAAATGGCCATACAGTGAATAACCAATTTTATTTGAAATGAATGCTTAGCTATGCTGCTGGAAACTTTTAAATGCAGCTGAATTCATGTGGGCAATCAAATATCGAATGACAATTTGCATGTCTTCTTTCGATGTGGAAGTGAAGTTGGTTTGCGATATCGTGAAGCATCTTAAGGTACGCTCATGCATGCCCAGTTACCTGTTTTTTCAAGCTTGAAACAGCAGTCCAAGGTGGAGAGACGTGATTCAGGTAATAATCCTTGCATTTTTGATATAGCGCTTTTCACGTCGGGAGGACGTCCCAAAGCGCTTCACAGAACACACTGTAAAGTGAATTGACTGTATATTTGTGGGCGAACGCGGCAGCCAATTGCGCACAGCAATGTCCCACAAACAGTCGTAGATTGAAAATGACCAATTTATTATTGTTTTGGGTTTTGGAGGAATTATTATTAGGCTCTGTGTGGAGTAAGGAAACTTGCCCAAGGTTTCGCCCTCTGCCTGGAATTGAACTCAGGTCTCTCACTTGCAAAGAGAGTGCTCTAACCACTGAGCTACAGGACTCCACTTAAAGGTAGGTAGGTATGGGATTAGAGAGAGAGAGAGAGAGAATGAAGAGAGAAAGAAAAATGCATTGATGGTGAGAGAGACTTACACACAAAGGTGCATCATTTCCTCACTGTTTTCATATTCACAATGAGGCCGGTCCTAATTACTACAACAACAACAAAATTATATTTGTATAGCCCCTTTCATGTCGGGAGGGTGTCTTAATTAGTGTGGCCATCACACTTTTTACTGTACTATTTTTATAAAGCTGGCTTCAACTGACTGAAGTAATATTACAGTTTGGGTAAAGGTAAGCCATGCAATATTACCTTCTCATTCCATATGAGCCAGTATTCAGGTCTTGGTGTATATCGATCCAGTAAAATGGAATGAAAGTTTTACATTGTTTCACTTTTATTTTCATTTAAATCAATGTGAAGTCTGTTCTTTAACTGGTGTATGACACTTAATTTGTGCGAGAAGAACTTTGCTTGTTGTTAAACCCCATTACCTCACCAAAGGAGTATCAAGTCAGAAGTAGTCAAAACATTTTGTAAGTGACTTGTTTGAGTATTTCTCAGAAAGTATTATTTTAAACTAAAAAAAATTCACTGAAAATGAAAGGGCAAAAGCTGTAAATTTTTGTTTTATGTTTCCATTTAAAGCTCATCCTCAGTCACTGTCATTTGAGTCCATAAATTCTGATGAGTATCAGGGGAGATGGAGTTTATATGAATGCATTGGTCTTCCCTTAATTAAGCTGTTACAATTGTAGGCTGCGTCAAGCCCAATAAAGTACAGATTACCGATGAAGGGAACATTAAAGTATTGCTCCAGGTTGAATTATAATGTACAGGACAACCCTATAACCCTGGTATAACAGAACTTGCTCTAATGCTGTTGTGGCCACCAACAATTTCTTGCTGGAGAATCAAAATCTCACGAAAACAATTCCTGTCAACATGAAAAAAGTCCAATTCCAAAAAATCCATACTATAAGTAAACCTGTGTTTTAATGAACCATGTTATAACAGAATTCTACTGTATTAATCATTGCTAAGAGACTAACTGGACCATAAAACTTCCATAAAGGTTCCACTCTTCACTCTTTCCTGAGTTAGCTGATCTTCGCTGGAACATTGAATAGGGTACTATTAGGGCAGTTTTAGCACCTCTGAGCTGGGCAGCAGTAAAATCAGCCTGAGTTCTTTCTTCTCATTTGTTTCTCCTTGACACATTCTTATTGTAGACTGACAAGTTAAGAATAGAAAATTGGGAGAAGTGCCCGATGACGTGAGTCAGCATTTTCAGGATAATATTGTAGGATAATATTGTTTTTGGTTTTGGAGGGATTATTAGGTGTGTGGAGTAAGGAAACTTGCCCAAGGTTTCGCCCTCTGCCAGGAATTGAACTCAGGTCTCTCACTTGCAAAGCGAGTGCTCTAACCACTAAGCTACAGGACTCCACACTCCAATTCTGAAACAAAAACAGAGAGAGCTGAGAAAACTCAGCAGGTCAGGCAGCATCTATGGAGAAAGGAAAGTGAGTCAACGTTTTGGGTATACAACCCTTCGTCAGAACGGATGGGATTATGTTAATTCACAGGTTGTTTAGGGTTTGTTTTTACAGATTAATTTTTCTTAATCCAAGTTTTGTTTTGAGCTGTAATCAACATTTTTCCGGTTTGGTGGAATGAACTTTGATAAGCAATGCAACCTTTCCCATCATTTTTACCTTTCCTTGTTTTTCATATTTGGCAGTGACTGTTCCACTTGGTAAACTACCTCCAGTGTCAATATATATATATATATTTTTTAAAAGCCCTCTGAATAGGTCACAACATTTTATTCATTGTGGAATTTCTAGGGCAGAAGAGAAAAATTGCTAGATTTATACATTATTACTGATCTTTTAAACTACAAAGCCTACAAAGCCAGATGTGTTTGTGTTGCAGATTCTTGGAGAAAGGTGGGCAGCTATCTGCAAGTGGACAGAAGATCGCTGGATCCTCCTGCAAGAGCTTCTTCTCAAGTGGCAGTTCTTCACTGAGGAGCAGGTAACTCACAGCTTCAAATGCTTCTCCCAATCAGATCTGCAGACTTCGTTCAAGACAACCATTTGGTAGTAATGTAAGAAAAATGGGGCTTGGCACTGGGCGCTATAACTTAGCATGAGCAAGGATCAGCCATGGTTCTTTGCTGGTTCAGGATCAAATTGGGTTATCTTGGTGAAAAGAGACTTTGAAAAGCAGCAATGATATTAACATTAGAAATTGAGTTCAATTCTGCTCTCACTTCCCTCACAGTTATTGAGTTTAATGCCATTTACCAAGAGCATTGTTTTAACAGTGTGAAGCCAGATGATCAACAACAACAATTTGCATTTATATAGCACCCTCAACGCAGAGTAGTGTCTCAGAGCGCTTAACAGTGATGGAGCCTGACTCCGAGCTGGGGGGAGCGGACTGTAAGCATGGTCAAAGAGGAAGGTTTTCAGGTGGCACTTGAAAAAGGGGAGAGAGGGGGCAAGGCGGAGGGATTGAGGGAGAGTGTTCCAGAATTTGGGGTGTAGTGGCTGAAAGCGCAAACCTCCGATGGTGGGGTGGAGGGTGTGATTGGCGAGCAGGAGGCTGGTGCTAGTCGAGCGGAGGTGCCGGGTTGTAGATTAGGGAGTGAGGAGGTTGGAGTGGTAGGGAGTGCCAGAGATTTGAACACAAGTGTGAGGATCTTGAGGTCGATCCGTTTGGTGATGGGGAGCCTGACCAGAACTGGTGAGATGTGGGTACCAGTTTGGTCTGAATCAGTTTGCGGGCAACAAAGTTCTGAATTAGCTGGATTTTTTGAATAGTGGAGCTGGTGAAACTGGCGAGGAGTGTGTTTGAGTAAGCCAGGGGGGAGGTGACAAATGCATGCACGAGGGTTTCGGCTGCATTTGGGGGTAAGGTACGGTCAGAGGCGGGCAATGTGGCGGAGGTGGAAGAAGGCGGTCCTGGTCAGGGACCGGATGTGGGGAAGGAAGGACAACTGGGGGTCGAACCGGATGCCTAGATTGCGCACTGTTTCGGTGAGTCTGAGGAAGAGCCCAGGGAGGTTGAGGAGTTCAGATCCGCAGGAGCAAAGACATTGACGGAAGCCAAGGAATATGGCTTCCATCTTGTCCACATTCAGCTGCACGATCAGGGATTAATTATAATTATTATTATATGCAGGATTCATTATATATTATATATCATATACTGTATATATTGTATGCAGGATTATATGCAGGATTAATAATAATTAATCTGTAAAACAAATGCAGTCTCTATGTCATAAATCTGATTTTTTACTGGACAATTTTATTAAGTGAGGTAATTTTCCTTTCTGTATGAATAACAACTATAAACTGATGTCGAAAAAAAAGTTTTTTTTAAAAAAAAGCCGAATACCGTATCTCCAATGTAAAATATTTATGATGGCAGGAGATTTACTCTGGCACTTGCTGTGTTCAGTCACCTGGGAATGGTTTTCTTCTGCTTGGCCAGTAAAGCATTTAATGCTGTTTTGAGGGTGACAGATTTGCTCTCATGAAAACATGAATCCATATTTTGCATGAGTTCCTATCCTGTCCTGCAGGCCTACCATTCTGGATGGTGGTTTGGTTGATGCACAGTCTAAGAGTGTCTGGTAATCAAACCAGTGGAGGAAGATTTACAGAAATAAATATCATGAAAGACTTGAAAGAGAATATATTTTTCTTTGTGACTGGAAGAGTCTCACTTTGAAGCACTGCTTTCAAGATGGGAATAAATGCCACTATAATCTGAGGAGGTTTGGGTACAGTGATAGTAATAGAGAGGTAGAAGTAAGACATATGGAGAAAAAAGCTGGCTAATGCAATTAAAAGATCTCTGATGATCTAATAATAAGACTGAATATTATTCGACAGGCTACTTCTTCCTGTTCCTGTGCCCTAGCCTACCTTGTGCTTGCCACTGGGTGACATCTTCTCTTGACTCTCTGACTCCCTTCACTGAGTCTTAGCTTTAAATCCCTTTCTCAGTGCTCAAATATATTTGAAGCCTGTTATCATTTGTGCTGATACTATCAATGTTCAAGAAAATCTGTTGTATCATCATTTTAAAAAAAAGCCTGTGAGACTGGTTTCCTTCCCTGTGCTATTAAAACCATCATTCACCCTGTCCCTGCTCTTGCACCCTCATGCCTGGGTGAGTACTCTTTGCACATGCATATTTGCTGATCAGAATAAGGCAAAGTTTAGAGTGACAGCAAATTCTAAGAAAGCAGAAACCCCTGTGGAGGTGGGAGTATCCTAACATTCACAGTGAGAATATTAGGTTGGTTGGTCGGTTTACTATAACTTGGGAGCTGGGCCAAGCGACTCTCCATCCTCCTGGATATCTTGGGAGAATTGTAATGTATAAGGTAGCAATGCCAAACAAGATGTAATATTTATAATGGTCAAGGAAATCTCTGTGATCCTAATTAGCCACTAAGAGGTGCACAAAAGTGGTCTCACATAATGTGGAATTTCCTCCAATATGGGCAAGGCCTCATATCCACTCAGTGCTTGCTGGCCTAACTAAAACTGGGAGCTCGATGTTGAAAGACCCATTTGTGTAATGTTTCGCGACATGGTATTGACTCCACACTTGTAGTTGCAATTACATAGTGACAAGTATTGTATCTGTTTCCAGCAGCTCAACAGATCTCCAAAGAATTACTGCCTTCATTATCTTCTTTCTTATTTGCCAGAAGGAATTGATCCACCCATTGAAGAAAGGGATCAAAAACTGAAGATTCATTGTGACCTTCTCAATGTAAAATCAGAGCCCTATTTAATAACATTCTTACCTGTTTGTTTAGTGCCTCTTTGATGCATGGCTAATGGAGAAGGAGAAATCTGTTAACAAAATTCAGACAACTGGCTTCAAGGATCAAAATGAGGTGCTGGCTAATCTGCGGAAGTTAGTGGTGAGTACAGTAGGTGTTGAGAGATTTTTCACAAGACTTTTTCACTAATGTGATCAAAGAAGATTAGCATGTAATGAATATTAATGACTCTGTTTGTTAGAACCGTATGTTATTGATTACCATTTTCATGTCCTCATCCAGTCTAGTGCATCACATTACTTTTCACATTTCTCTCCCAATAGTTTCTCAGCTGCATTTTGTCTGCAGGCTTTTGGAACATTTAATTTTCATTCAGTGCTTTTACTTCCCCATGTTGCACCCCCTGTATAACATAATCTATTCTCATTCCATGCCACCAGGAGATGGTGCCACACAACTTATTTAAATAGAGAAGGGAGTTTCCCTCAGTTTCCTGACCTCCAGATAAATAGATCATTCACGTCACTGTGAATGATCCATTGCTGTGTACAAAATAGATACCATGTTTGCCACCAAATGCAGTTATTTCACTTGACAACAATGAAGTTCTTTGAGACATTTTGATTATATCAAATGCAATTATTATTTTATTATCTTCTAATAGTTGTTTCAGCCAGCGATCCTCTAAAACTGCCAGAGACATAAATTAGAAAACCCTTTGTTACTAAATTATTTTTTAGCGGATGTTTTTGGACACCCATCAGTTCAATAATGTCACTTCTGGGTCAACTATTTATTAAGTTTAAGCCTCACATTGGTACTTAAGCTCCTGCCTTAGGCTGACATTCCAGTTCAATAATGGGGGAGTGCTGCATTATCAGAAATTCCCTTTTGCAGATGAGAATGTAAATTGAGGCCCTATCTGTCTGTTCAGGTGAAGATCCCATGACACTATTTAGATAGAGAAGGGAATTTCTCCTGATGTCTTGACCAACAAATGTCCTCCTGTTTAATTGCTCATTGCCCTCATGGCTCAAAACTTGACAATAATTGCCTGTGATATCCTCCTTGGTGGGGTGAGGGAGGAAGATAAGCAGTGTCTCCTTGGAGCTGAACTGGCTCCAAGGTGATATGCCTGGCAATGGAATGTTGAAATTGAGTCAGCCCTCTGTGGCGGTCTCGGTCAGCCAGTTCCTGAACCAGGTGGGTCTGCAGTATTCCAGGACACTGTTGACGACAACACAGCCAGCCTGGCTCATGCTAGCAGGTTAAGCATCGGGAAAGCTTGCTGGACAGTAATATCACTAGTAAGCTATGCGGTCTTAGCTGGTTGACTCCAGCAGTACCCCAACGCACACTCTGTGATCCCCAAGCTTTGACTCTTGCCAACCTGCACCTAATACTCTCAAGAATTAGGTAAGCAGGATGCGCCCCTCCAGGGAAAGTGTGCATACCATTCCAACAATCTATCTCTGGGATTTTCCTGTATAAGTGGGATGCATGGAAATCTCAGCTTGGTTTGGATATTCTTAAGCATGGTGATGGGTTTCTGCATGTGTCAGACCCAGGCTGCCCCACCCCCCACAAAATAAATTACCTGTGAAGTACAGTAGAAGCCGGTTAAGACGGAAGCATTTGGGATGGATATTTTAGTTGACTTAAGAGGTGTCCGAGTTTAGCCGAAATGCCATTCACGCCCAGCAGGGATGCTGTATAGTAATATGCAATAATGTTGTTTCATTTGAAGCCATATAACTTACCAGTTAAAGTAAAATTACTCTCACAGGATTCAGTAAAATACATTTACTTTGTTTGGCTGTAAAATACAGTTCAGTACTTTCCCGCCCAGCAAAGGAGCAGCACTTCCTCCCTCCCGTTGACATTCCTATTGGACTGGAAGGGAACCAATTAGCGATAGCGCTGAGGTGATTGACAGCCTTCAGCCACTTGAGAATCATAATAATAATCCTTGCATTTGATACAGTGCCTTATCACATCTTCGACATGTCTCAAAGCGCTTCCCAGAATGTATTGTAAAGTGAATTGACTGTGGATAAAACCGGCAGCCAATTGTGTGCAGCAGTGACCCACAAAGTTATGGATTGAGTGACCACATTTGTTGATTGATTGATTGATTGATATTTGAAGGGATTATTACCCCTGAAAAGTGATCCGTCAATTGACTAACAACCGGGTTCCTACTTACTATAGGTGAACAGAAGCATGTGGAGTAAGGAAACTTGAACCAACGTTTCGCCCTGCCTGAGAATCGAACCTAGGTCCTCTCGCTTGCAAGGCGAGTGCTCTAACCACTGAGCCACAGGACTTGTGGTTGTATAATTGGGATTGTTCTTCAGTACTAAGTGAAAGAGGCTACGTTGCATCTCTCTGGTTAATGAATTCATTCATCCAGCCATTTATAAGCACCTCCAGCTGTCCATCAATTGTGCTATTCTCTCCCTGGTTCTTCCCTGTTTCTCCACCCCCTCACTGATTGACAGCCCAACTCCAGCCGCTTGTGAATGGCTGGAGTCCGCTGACAATCAATCTTAGACTCCTGTGGATTCCACTGTACCTTGAGAACTGCAAAAATGTGATTGCTTTCTTAAAGAGGCATTGTGTTGTCCATTTAGTTAACCCATTCATCCTTTGCCACACCTAGCTTTGCCCCCCACCACCATCCCACTGACCTTGTACTTTTTTCTCCCTGTTTGTCTGCATTGCTTTAACTCTGCATCTATCAATGCACTCTGAACAGTCAGTCACGTTGTGCACATTATGCTTCCACGCAAGAGTTTCAGGAAATGATTAAATATTTTGTCTCTTCCATGATTTTTAAAAATTAAATTTATACTGATTTGGCGCTTTAGAATTTGCATACGTTGCAGAAAGGCTGAGCCTGTCTTTGGCTACAGGAATTGCCTCTGGTATTTTTCAATTGACCAAGGTCATGCATTTTGTAAATCCTGCCAGATCTTCAAAGGAATGTTCCAGGAAGCATCAAATTGTGAGAGGGCACATGTAAATCATTAAATCTAATATATGATTAAAGCAGTGACCTACCAGACAAAATCATTATGTAGGCTAATTCTGAGCATGTTCCCTGAAACGATCTGTAGTGATATCTTACACATTCACCAAACAATATTTGAACGCAACTGCTAGCAGGAATCTGCAGTTTAACAGACCTTTTTGGCTTCTATTACAACTTCATATCAGATAGGTATTCTTTATTCATAAGGGGTATTAAGGGAAACTCAGAGATTTACTAATACAGAATGTGATTGAGAACAACGGGAAACCTATCAGAATTGATTTGGTCCACATTTTTCCAACAATGTTCTACTCTACACACAAACTTTTGCGACTCAGAGATTTACTAATACAGAATGTGATTGAGAACAACGGGAAACCTGTCAGAATTGATTTGGTCCACATTTTTCCAACAATGTTCTACTCTACACACAAACTTTTGCGAGCTGTTTTATATCTGAGACAGGAGTCCCATCAATTGTACAAAGAACAAAAAATGAAAAATGCTGGAAATCTGAAATAAAACACATTGGCTTCTGACAGAGAATATAGATTAATGTGTTTTTTAGATAGGACTGGATGTGGTAACTGAAACTGCAGCTTATTTTTCCTCCTTCAGAAGCTGCTTAGCTGGATGCGATTTCCATTTTTTTGTTTTTAATCGAGAAACTGCAAACTGGATTAAGTTGAGCTTGAACAAAACTGTTTTTTGCAGATCTGTTCATACCCTTTGCTCTAAGGATACCACTGAAAGAAAATATGACTTACCTCCTATTCATATGCAACAAATTTTTCATGAAAGTTTAATTATTGCTTGATTTCCTGGAGGCACGGAGTATATTATGAGTGGTGTGATTGGTATCTCTGATGGTCCTGCTTCATTACATCTCTGCTGCTTCAACAGATTCTGAAAGGAGACTTGGAGATGAAACGACAAGTCATGGACAGGCTGTGTTCGCTCAGCCAAGATCTGCTGACAGCATTGCAAAATAAGATTGTAGCTCAGAAATTACAGGCGAGGCTTGAGGAATTTGCCCAGCGCTGGGATAATCTTGTACAGAGACTCGAGAACAACTCCAAGATGGTAGGTTGTCAACAGTCTGTACCATTCCGTCCTGCTGGGCCTTAACTATGATAACTACTGATGATGATGATGATCACATCATTGATAATCACCTACAAAAACAGACAGTCACTACATTCTACAGTAAATTCTATGAAGCACTTTGAGACATATGGCGCTGTAATAGTTTTATAAGGATTATTTATTATTATTACTGTTGTTGAAGCCAGTTGAGAAAACCAGACATACATATGACTCTTAAGAAAAATTATCCTAAGAGTAGCTCAGTTGAATTAAATGGATTTGATTACACCTGGGTATAATTTCTTACTCATGATTAGTCTTGTGTTTTGAATGAAGGATACAAACAGCAAATTAATTATTCCCCTCACAGAACGACGCATGAGGGAGCTCAATGGAACTCATGTGGCAATGAGAAACCTTGACCTTATATTGCTGCTGGGAATTCTGTTTGATTTTAATTTGCAACTTGCTTTAGTTGTCGGTAACAGCAACAAAGCTTTCCATTTGAAATTTGCTATCTATGAACCTGCTATGAAGAGTTAATCCATGAGCAAGAACAAACATTGAAAGAAAACAGCTGTTATTTAACAGTAATTGGCTGCTGATCACCACTTAATATTGCTTCATAGGTATTTGTGGGACATTATTCATCCATTGTGTGGACCTTCTTTGCTATCATTGCCCTCCATGGCACCCGTTTCCAGTCAGAACAAAAAACATGAAATAAACTCCATTAACTCCACTTAATATTTACAAGAAATCCCGATCAATGATAGTCCCTTCATCTTAGACTGTGTGAGTTCAAGTCCTGACGTGGGATAGTCCCACATCAGGACTTGAACTCACATAGTCTAAGATGAAACTCCAATGCAATCTTGGAGGGGGGGAGGGGAGTTGCATTTTCAACGGTGCCATCGTTCGCATGAGATGTTAATCCCAGGTCCCTTCTACCTGTTCAGGTGGATGTTAAAGATCCCATGGCACTATTCGAAAAGAGAAGGGAGTTTCTCTCTGTGCCCTGGCCAGCAATTCCCCCAAATAAAAAAAAGATCATTTGTTTCATGGCTGTTTGTAGGACTTTGCAGTGTACAATTGAACTGACACATTTGCCTACAAATACACTACACCAAATGCCAGGTTATTATTTACTATTATAAAATTATCTTGAATTTCACACAATGGTTGGTAGTCAATCATCTGAGCTTTGCTTTTTAGATTTGAGTTGAGATTGCAGCTTCAGATTCCCTTACATCATTAGTGTATAATAATCTGCTGTTATTACGAAAGAGGAGTAAAATTGCCACAATGAGGTTACACACCATTTTGTAACAAGTTTAATTGAAAGATGTGATTTCCCAGTTCAATGCTCTCTGTCCTCAATTGCAACCTGCTCCTTCTGGAACCATTGTCCCCGTAGAGACCAAGATACAGAATCAATTGAGGTGTTTAAAGAGGGAGGTATAGTAGGAAGTAAAGAACATAAGAATTTGCTGGACGAAAGAAGATATCCATCTAAAATGGTCCATCTTGTCCGTCTTCCCCATCTGGGCAGTCGCGTGACATGTCATGTCCCAAAGTAAACATTGTGAAGGAGTACAGGGACAAGGTGGGGAAAAAAGATTAAGAAAGATAAAGAGATGGAAAGAACTAATAAAATGGTGAAGCAGGCTCAATAGGCTGAATAGCTTACTACATATAATAATAATAATAATAATAATAGTCCTTGCATTTCACGTCGGAAGGACGTCCCAAAGCGCTTCACAGAACAAACTGTAAAGTGAATTGACTGTATATTTGTGGGCGAACGCGGCAGCCAATTGCACACAGCAATGTCCCACAAACAGTCGTAGATTGAAAATGACTAATTTTATTATTGTTTTTTTTGGTTTTTGGAGGGATTATTATTGGAGGAACATACTCCTGTCCTATAAATGCAACATAGGAAATGGGGCATCAATAGTGAGTCAGTACTGATGCCTCCTTGAAGGTCTGCATTGTGAACAGGGACAGGCTTGCCTGTGAATAGTTTTCTGTCACCCAATATCTGGGCTCACCACAAGAACACTGCTGGCAGTGAATCTATTATTTGTCTCACACATCTAGTCTCTTTGTGCAGTACACAGGTTTTTGCTTAATAGCATGATTGGCATTTATATGGGAATTACTTTCAAGGTAAGACACAAATGAATGCAACTTACAATGCAAAACAAAAAAACACTTGGAAAGAGCAGTTTTAATCAACTGAATTCTCAGTTTTTGCCAACTGGTCATAATTGCATATGCAGACAGTGGTAAAATTATCAATTTATTTTGATAAATGACCATCCTTTGCTCATAATTCTCCAAAGAAATAAATCACCTGCAACCCATTTGGCAAATATAACATGTTTTAATGAATTACAGAAGGTGGTGACATCACACCTCTGTTGGAGGGAAGTGGTTTTGATGTCCTTCTCCGACTGCTCTTGAAGGATAAGGGGGCACAGCTTTCAATTTGACAGCTTTTTTGTGATTCATAAAGTTCACTAATCGATAAATTATTTAAAAAAATACAGGATGAGATTCATTGTAAACCTTGTGCAATAAAACACTGAACATTTACCACCATTATACTTTTAATCATGTTTTATGATTGACATTGCACCTTTTTGGAAAGCTGAATATATGTCATTTTTGAAAGTCACAGATATACGGCCCCTGAAGCAATGATGTACAGTTATTACTACTTTATTTAACTACTTTTTTTTACACAGAGGAAATAAAAAAAGTTGCAAAGCACATGGCATTCTTAATGTTCCATTCATAACTTTAGGTGCTACATTAGTAGATGTCACAAAAAATTCAATCACATTTATCAGATAGTTCCTGTCAAATAGCAGATAGGTGGATCAGGTTTACACTGAATATGAAATGTAGTAAGTAGATAAAGTTTAATACAACTTTTGTTCCTGTTTATTAATTTTGGCTCAGATATTAGACTAGTGCGCTTGTCTCTGGGCCCGGAATTAAGCTCCTAATCCAAGCTAAGCTGCAGAGTTTTGGAAGAGGATGAATTGTTGGAGATTGGCATCTTTCAAATGATTTGTCTCATCTGCCTGTTCTGGTGGTTCAGTTAAAGGTTGTTAAAGATCCTATGGCAGTATTTCAAAGAACTGGAAGCTCTTCAAATAACAACCAATATTACCCTCTTCATTAAATCTGGTCAGTGCTGTTTGTGGGACATTTCCCGGTGCATATCAAATGCCGTATTTGCCTATAAAACCATAATTATTACCCTTCAAATTATTGAGTTAACTCCTTTGAGATATTTTGAATGATACTGATGCTTTGGTATTATACTATTAATAAAAAAAAGCCCCAGGGACATGGTGAAAGCAACAAGCATGAATAAGGCCTTTTAGGCCATTAACTATAGGACTGAGAGTATTCTCACTATAATAAAAGTATTTACGAGGAGGCCATGACTCCAGCAATTAAAATTTATGAAGAGATTAAACAAAATAAAAATGTGAAAATTCTTTGCTCTCTCCCTCCCCTCTTTCAGGGTACATCTCAAAACGTACTTCTTTGACAGCATTTTCAGTCATCATTCCCCTCCCCACCCTCAGCTTTCACTCTCGGCTACAGTGCCCAGAATTGTCAAGCACTTTGGGACAACCTTTTGAAGTGAAAGGTGCAATAAGTGTAAATTGTATTGTAAATTCTATTGTGAAAGATGCATTATGCGATTAAGAAACTACAAAACAAAGATGAATTAAAGTAGAATTTAAGAATTGTTAACTTGTAAACTACCAGCAGCAAATTCAAGGTACAGGAGGGAGATGGATGGGAAGGGTTCCAAGTAACAGAAGGCATCAGAAAGGTGCAGGATTTATTCTGGGATGAAATGGCATTGCTGGAATATAAATTCAGTGTATAGACTGGAATTTTAATCAGTCTAGTCTGGAATTACACCTGCCTTGTTAGCTGTAATTTGGAAATGGTTTGTCCACTTTTCTTGTTAAGAACTGTGGAGTACATCCAAAATGAGACTGAATTTATGATTTTTTTAAACATTAAAACTGAATTTAATGATTTTCCAAAATTCTGCACAATTTTAAGTTGAGCCTTAAGAATGAGACCAGTTGGAATTCCAAACCTCTAGAACCCCTGAGCTGGATTGGTTCGAGGAGTTATTTCATGATTCTCATTTTGTGCTTTATATTTGTCTTTTATGTTAAGAAAATGTCTTGCTGAGTGCAACATTAAATCTATATTTTAGAGTCACATTGAGTTTTGTGTGTGCATTGATGTATTCCACTCACTCTTCAGCCACAGGATAAATTGGATTAAACATTCTTGTTTGGTACAATCAGACACTTGTGTTGTGAAGGTCAGATCATGATCTGACTGGAGCAGTTGTTCATTATTTTCTTTTGAGACCTCAAACAATCGTTATTGAAGTCAATCCAGCAGTCTGTGACCTCTTATCTTAATACTTCCTCAGGTTTCACAATTTGTCACCACATCTCAGACATCGCTAACGCAGACCACAGTGATGGAAACAGTAACTATGGTGACCACCAAGGAGCAGATTCAGATCAAACCGAAAGGGGAGCATTCTCCACCCCCTCCTAAGAAGAGGCAGGTGCTTTTGGACTCTGAGCTCAGGAAAAGGTAAGTTCAGGGAATAGTACAAAACCTTTGGTTGACAAATTTATTAATAATATGAATGGCTGGAGAAAAAGGAGGAAAAACATGATTTCATATGCTTGCTACAGTTTGACATTTTAATCTTTATATTTGGTCCAAATATCTTTTTGATTGTTTTCATAAAGAATGCAATTATCTTGACACAAATAGAATTAATCAAACTGTATATATTATGACTTCCTCAAGACAACATATTCCTGGTCTAATAAAGCGTAGTCGCATATGCTGCTGACAATAATACAGACCAGATCTCCATCTAGTGTTTGAAATGATTAGCACTAATACTGGCATTATTTGGTACATTTTGCACCAGGATCGCTAAGGTGTAACCCAATGAGTGGCCACTGCATTTCTAACAGATAAAAATGTTTCTTTATTGGGATTCCTTAGCAATAAATTTCGATCGACCCCGTGGGATCTTTACTCTGAAAGTACATCACGTTGAAGTAGTGCTTCCTCATGATGTGCCTCCTGTTGCATGATGTGTATTCTTTATTAAGAAATAGCACAAATTAGACCCCAGTGAGTTATCGTGCAGCGTTGTGAGTAACCCTTCAGGTTATAAAAGTGCAAAAATTAGGTGACTCATTTTCTTGTTCTGATACAGTGTGTGATTAATAATATAATAGCCTCCTTCAAGTCCCACCTCAAAACCCTCCTCTTCGACCATGCCATCAGTCACCCCCCTTCCCCTCCCCTCCCTGGTTAGAATACTTGCAAACGAGAGACCTGGGTTCGATTCCTGGCAAGGCGAAACCCTGGGCAAGTTTCCTTACTTCACACGCCTGATAATAATCCCTCAAGAAAAAAATCCCAATAATAATTTGGTCACTCAATCCAGGAATGTTTGCGGGACTCTGCTGTGCGCAATTGGCTGCTGCGTTTCACCCACGCAATATACAGCCAATTCACTGCACAGTATATTCTGTGTAGTGTTTTGAGAGATCTAGAAGACATGAAAAGCGCTATATCAAATGCAAGTATTGTGTCTGTGTATGTATATATATATATATAATATTTATAGACATGCAGAGATCATTTTTGGAGCTTTTATATTTTCACGAGACGCGTGGATTATTTCAAAAGCTACCAAGCTTTTTAGTATATATTTTTATACTTTGCTTTTATTGAGTTAAACAAAGTGCAAAAATAGCTGTGAGGTGAAGTTCAGGTCGTGATCAGATTCACTTTCCAGTTTATGAGATATCTTTATTGCATTTAAGACGGCTCACTTGATTTGAGCTTTGGACCCAAGGGTATCCACGCGGAATATTGACTGCACTTTAGTGCCTATAAATATTCAAATATTGCATTTAAATTACATAAGTGGCTTAAATTAACCAATAATCCCCTCAGTATTTACCCATCTGCGGTCTGTTTATGACATCCAAAATCAAAGCTCTTCCATTGGTTTTCACAGAGAATGGATTTTTATTTGCATTCGGTTGTCACGTCTTGCAGTCTGTACTTTTCTCCAGGAAGATGACAAGAAGGCAGATGTTTTGTGTCATTTATTTTAGATCTGGGAGGGTGAGATAAATCAAGATTTAAATATGGCAGAATATTGATTTGGGGATTTCCTCTCATATTTATGGTTTCTCGGATCACAGAGCTGCCTGAACCAGTCACTTGCCTCTGCTCCACCAACCCACATGGAGATGCACATCACAAGGCTCACTCTGTCATGCAGCTCACCCTCCTACACAGAGCGGCAGTTGATTAAGAGCAGCAGCTTATGAATTCACACGCTCAGCGCAGAAGTGTTCAGGCCAAATGAGAGAGGACGCTGAGTTATTAAGACCTGAGTAGAGTAAATAACTAAACTATTGATTTTGTTTTTCTTTATTAGGTTTCTAATTACACAACAAGATGATAATTCTATACTTTGAAACAGATCAGTTTAAAAACATTGTTTTCTAGTGCTTATTGGTATGAAGGGCTTTTTAGCATCCACTAGAGCATAAATCATCAAATGATAAATTAGACATGTTAATTCAGATAAAAACATTACTGACAATTTGTTTTGGCTGTAAGACAACAAGATACATTATTACAATAAGTTCTCAAGTGATACAGTTTCTTTTTACGCAGTGTCTCATAACAATGAACTGTGAATATTTGATCAATAGTTCCAGTCTGAATACAGCATCGTCAACAAAGAGGTGTGAATTTGCAAGTGTCCAACATATGAAATGAATGAATTGAAGAATGGGTCACAGTGTTGCAAGTCTGCACAGAACCACTGTTAAAGGATGCAGTGCGTCTTTATTACAAACGTACTTTCTTCCAGCATAAATTATACTCCAAATTACATTTGCTTATAAGATGTCAGTGTCCATGGTGAATGATAATTTGCAAGTGCAAGAAACTATTGAGCCAGCTCATAAGATGTTGAGATTTTTTTAACAAGAGGTGTAGAGTATAAATACAAAGAAGATGGAAATTGACCGATTGGCCGGCAGATCTAGCCTGTTTGATTGCTAAAGTAGTTTTATGGCCAACGAGAGTGATAATTTCAGCCTCTTAGCGCAGTAATCCCTGGGAACATTATTAAAGTAACTGGAGTCCAATGTAGGGCATAAAATTTACAAAATAGTAATGCTCATCTCAGAGTGAAAGCAAAATGATGGCATTCAGACCCAAATCACTTATTCTGAATGGTGCGCCACTTGCTGGTTTCCTGATTGCGTTCCTTAAACAAGTCACAGAACGTGTTTAGGGATCTTGCAAATGTTACCCTTATATTTCTTGTTCCAGTTAGCTCCAGGTGCAGCGCTGACACTATGTTTGGCTTGATATACTTCTTTGCTGCAATTTCTCTAATAGCAGACAAACACAATTTGTGAATTGTTCAATGTAATTACTTTGCACAGAGAATGGAGAATATGGGGAATGTATTTCCCACAGACAGATTGGGTCAGCAAATTCAAGAGTGCATTAGGTAGCGTTTTGGCAAATAAATCAACTGAGAACAGAACAGGTTCAATGGACTGAATGACCACTCCTGTTGTTACATATCTAAGTCCAAACCTTGTACAGATATTGTTTAAGAGAATTGTGATTTGACTGAATACATATTTGATTTTTATACTGTCTCCAGTAATTTTGTTTAAAGGATCAGTGTAGCTCAAGTGCAGCAAAGCAGGAAGCGATGCCAGTGTCCTCCTAGCTCAGAATTGGCCATATTGTATACAAAGGCAGCTGACACGTGGGAAGTAAGTGTGCCAATTGTGTGCAATGAATGGAGCCCACAGTGTAACAGTATTATAAGCAAATTCATGCTGTAGTGAAGCATGTTACAACAGGGCTGCACTCTACCCAGCATAAACAAAATGCTTCTTTGAGCTATTCCAGCACAATTTTAAAAAAAAATACGTTAAGCCACAACTTTCCTTCCTTTATGTGGTTCAAAGATCTGTCTTTGAAACTGATATGAGCCACCTCTGTTTCGCTGCTTATTCAAGCTGCTGCTTCTCATTTTGTGCCCTGCTGAGAGGCTGTTTTTCAACAATAAACATATTTTGTGTTTAAATATTCACAAGAGGCTGTGAAAGGCACTTAAGGTACTTTCAAGCTTCAGGACCTGGCAGCAGAATTGAAACAAAGATATTATGTTACAGGCCAATTATATTCCTCCCACAAAGATATTTGTGAAGTGTAGATGTTTTTATGAAATGAAAATGAAAGCAGTCATCAGTGCCTCAGTTTTGCAGGTATTGAATAATAGAGCTTGCTCATCGTTGTAATTAGCTGTAGTCTTTGTTGAATTGAGATTGGTTTTTCAAGGAGATTGGCTTCTTCAAAAGTATTTGGCTAACCTTTCTTCCATTTGTTTACCAAATGCAATGATGCAATTTGTGCCAAATGATATATAACTTGTTACTGATGTTAATTCATGAAGAGATGCAAAGCCCACTGCCCACTGCTGTCTCTTTGTTCTCCGGAATTGAAAATAAAACTTGCAAGTGCTTAGCACAGAAGTGTTGCCCCTTTTAATTTTTGCACAATGAAGAGTGCTGAAAAAATGCTTTTGTCCTCAAATTCAAAAAATAGTAATGGATGATGAAACCCCAAATGCACCTGCTGAAACAGCCATCTCTTCCATTTTCCAATGGGGACTTTGAGCTCACAGTGCAGGTTGACACTCCCGTGCAATGCTGGGAGAGCATTGCATTGTCTGTGATGCTGTCCTTCATATGATATGTTAAACTGAGATTTGGTCTGCTCGTTGAGTTGGACTCCAAAGATCTTGTGACGCTATTCAAAAAGAGAAGGAAATTTCTTCTGGTATCCTGGTCAACAATTACCCAGTTACAACAACAACTAAATTACATTTATAGAGCGCCTTTCACGTCGGGAGGACGTCCCAAGGTGCTGGACAGTCCGGGATTAGGACCCGAGCATGAGGCAGGGGTGTGGTAGGGGTGAGGGAAGGCAGAGAGGTGGGAGAGTGACCGAAGGCATGATCGAAGAGGAGGGTCTTGAGATAAAATTGAACATGCATGCATCACTGTTCATGTGCAACATTGCTGTGTGCAAACTGGCTGCCAGGTTTACCTACACATATACAATCAGTACACTTTGCATTGAATCGTGTGAAGTGCTTTGATACCTCCTGTTGATGCAAGATGCTATATCGAATGCAAGGATTATCATAATTTATTTGGATTTTCAAAAGCTGTTTGCATGTGCAGCTTTTAAATAAAGTTAAGACTCTGGAAATTAATATGAAATTAGCTAGGTGAATTGAAAGATGGACTGAGAATAGGAAACAGCATGTGGTAATGCATAGACAAAAGCTCTTGCTTGGGACAGAGAGTCCAGTAGAATTTCACATTGATATATCTAGTTCCCCTCGTGTTAACACTATTCATACGTTTCTTGTTATATTACATTTGCTGCTGATACCAATCCTTGCAAGCAGATACAATCATAGGATACTACAGCATAGAAGGAGGCCATTCAGCCCATCATGCCGGTACTGGGTCTAGGGAAGAGGTACCCAATCAGTCCCACTCCCTCATTGTTTCCCCATATCCATGCAAATTTTTCCTCTTCAAGTACCTATTCGATTCCCTTTTGAAAGTTGTTATTAAATCTGTTTCCACCACCCTTTCAGACAGTGCATTCCAGACCATTACAATTCTCTTTGTAAAATAAATTCTCCTCATCTCCCCTCTGTTTCTTTTGCCAATTATCTTGAACCTATATCCTCTGGTTACCGACCCACCTGCCAATGGAAGCAGTTTCTCCCTATCTATTCTATCAAAACCTCTCATAATTTTGACCACCTCTATTTAATGTCCCCTTAACCTTCTCTACTGTAAGGAGAACAATCCCAGCTTCTCTCATCTCGCAATATAACTGAAGTCCCTCATCCCTGGTACCATTCTGGTAAATTACCTCTGCGCCCTCTCCAAGGTCGTGATAAAGTGTGGTGCCCAAAATTGGACATAACACTCCAGCTGAGGCCTAACCAGTGACTTATAAAGGTTTTGCAGAATGATGAATAATAGTAGTAGGATAAATAGCTTTCAAGAAGATATGGATCAATTAAACAGATGGCCAAGGAGTGGTGGATAGATTTTAATACAGATAAGTTCAAGATGATGCATATTTGAACATAAGATATTAAGTTTATCTATAGAATGAAAAGCATTCCATAAGCAGATGTGGAGAAGGAAAGGGATATGGATGGAATTATTCATCATTTACTGAATGTTTCCAGACAATCTGAAGTTGCAGACCAATGAAACAAATCAAATACAAGGTTGTATCTTTATGGCATTTGTCTATAGCCCCAAATAGGTTATTTTAATATTGTATATATCTCTCTGGTAAGGCCACATTTTGGTTACTCTGTGCAGATTTCGGCACCATACCTTTACAATTACTTTGAAGCCTTGGAGAAGGTTCATTATAGAACACAAAAAAAGGGTTTGAGGTTATAAATTTCATTGAGGAGAGGCTCACAGAAATGAAGATTGAGTGGGGACCTACCTGAACCACATCTTTAAAGTATGATGAAATTACTGTTTGGGAAAGTGTAATCATTTTTCTAATTCAAAGGCACTTGGCAGCTTGTTTTGTACTAAAACTTTTGGAAAAGCTGGTTTTCCTCTCATCTGTGGAGATCCTTTATTTTTGTACTGCCAATAAATCCTTGCAATATTTTAGCTGTATGACCCGAAGTACTCAATTAACACGTATTTTTTAATTGAAAGGGCAGAAGTAGAATCTATCCATGTTTACCCTTTCCATTATTAAGGGCAGAAGTAGACAGTTCTACATTTTCAGAGTGCTCAACAATCTAATATTCCATAAGTATTAATAGGAATTTTACTAAGGAATTCTCACCACACAATGTGGGCTTGTTCCAGTAATGTGATCGTGGCCTGTAGAAACTCTGCTCCACTTGGAGAGTTGAACTTGAATTCTAATGTGAATGCTAATATAGGAATTGTAGGGTGGGTGTTCTGGAGGGATGAGATCACATGCACCAAAGGGGCTTCTTCATACAAATCAATCTTATGATCTTCTGAATTCTGTTAAGAGATTTTGCAAACTAAACTCCAATGTTTAGAGGTACACAAAGTTTGCAACATATCGCATCCCTGGAACATGCTATTTTAGGGAAACTGTGACCATTTGCGCAAGTCAACATTTAAATAGGCTTTATTACATGATGTTCAACAATTAGACAAGCTAGGGCTCTTTAGTCTTGACAGAAGACATTTCAGAAGGGATTTTAAAGAGGTTTATATATTTTAAATGAGATTGAAAAAGTAAAACCAGAACAATACTTTAGGATGCAAACAGCAGAATAAGAGGACATGGGTTTAGAATTGCGAAGCACAATTTCAGGATAGACACCTGAAAGGTTTTCTTTACTCAGTGGGAAGTCGATGATTGGAACAGGTTGCCTTGAAGTGTGACACCATGACACTGGACTTGTTTCAAAAACAGCTTGATATTGTGATGGAAGGACTGTAGGGTGGGTGTTCTGGAGGGGTGAGATCAGACCTTCATCCAAACCCATCCTGTGATATATATAGTATTCTCAATACCATCAAAAGAGGAGAAACATTTCAATCTAAGGGTGCTGTACTGTTTGGAAAGTTTTTTTATAGTTCTATTATTGGTACTGCTGAGTATTATTTTTTTTAATTATCTTGTGAAACCTTGATTTTTTTGAAGTATGAAAGGATTCTCTGTTTTGTGGTAATAATTAGACTTCCCTTTGGGAAGATTGATTCATTTAGTTACCGACACAATGTGCATCCAGTTTGCCAAGGTAAATTGATTTGGACATGTAAACAACAATTTGCACACTGTTTTCATCTGGAGGTGTATTGTGCTGCATTGCCTGCCAATGAATTGCTACTGCTGCACCATTGCACTGGAATCTATAGTTACTGTTGGTATTGTTGTTACTGTTTAGCACCATTGGTACGTTTGGTACTATTTTTATTGTTAATACTAACTTGAGCATTGTTGGCAACAATATATTTCTGCTATTCAAACAGTGTGTCTTTATATTGCATTTTAAAAACTGAATTATGTCTTCATTCCATTTTAATGCAATGGTGACTTTAATGAAGTGAGATCTATTTCGACACATCTTATTCATAATAATGAAGTTGAATGTGTGTGTGTGTGTGTGTGTGTGTGTCTTTCTCTCCACTTTGAGATTCTAGGACACTGAATTGTCTTTATAGTGCTTGTTTCTCAGAGAACTTTGTTCTTTCTGTAGATTTGATGTTGATACAACAGAGCTTCACAGCTGGATGACACGATCAGAAGCCATCCTTCAAAGCCCAGAGTTTGCAATTTACCGAAAAGAAGCAAGCATTTCAGACCTTCAAGAAAAAGTTAATGTATGTCAAGTACTGATTCAATATAAAAGATAATGATACAAACAGGGAACTAAATTAAGCTTTTATAAATGTTATTGAAATGATAAATCTCATCAGTTTGCAACATTTCACCTTCAGAAAGCTAGAACCTCAAGTTTACAGTAACAGTTCTTTATAGTATGTTTTGTGTTAAATTGTTGAACAAGTGTGCAGGATTTTAAACATCAGGTTTTTACCTTGCCTATTTTTTTCTATTTGCCCTGCTCCCAGTGTAAGATTCCAAGGGCACTGGTCACCCTCTGGTATTTTCTGGCAGCACATCTCAAGCTCAATCCTTTTCTCATCCAGCATGCACACACGTGTAATTCCAGCATGGCAGCTGGATAGCAATAAAAAGATGGCCTGATCTTATTTTCTCCTTCCTTATATGCGCCACTAAGGCCAATTATTGTGCTACTGATAGCTTGATGAGATCTGATAACATATGATCAAACTTAATACCATCTGCATTGGTATATGTCAGCAACTCGCTGGATAGGCAAGGTAAAAACTCATTGTCTTTGAAACAGGTTTAATGTGCCTTTCTGCTGACTTAAGTATCTGTTTAACTTCAACAGAGCAAGAAGTCTCTGAGCATTGGGGCTAGGCAAAGCAAAACTGGTTGATTGGGCAACTTCACTCTAGTATGAGCCAAATTTCAGAAAATAAGCAGATGGTTATGCCAAAATATGTTCCTTAAGCTTTGGATTCAGACTGTCATGCTGAATATTACCAAATTCCCACGTCTGTTAATGTTAACCATTTCTTGTACCAGGAAATATCTTCAGTGAGTATATTATAATAATAATTGTAGCCCAGTTTCAGTTGACACAACAATGTCAGTAACCTATGATGTATAATTGTCTAAAGATCATCAGTGAAAGTGTAACTATTTCTGATTTCTTAGTTACTATAAAAATAAATGTGTAAAATATGGGCTAAATAAAAATCCATTCCAACTTGCTCAGTCAGATTACTATTACCACCAAATGACATCTTGAACTGATTGAAATTTTTCAGTAGCTTTATTTGTCCTCCAGAAAATAATGATGTGAAAGCTCCAATTCTCTCTTCTTTTATAGGCTATAGAGAAGGAGAAACCTGAAAAATACAGAAAACTGCAAGATGCCAATAGATCAGCTCAAGCCTTAGTGGAACAGATTGTGAATGGTAATTACATGCAAGCCAATTTAGACAATCTTCTTAGAGAATTGTGCAATTCATAAGTTTACATTTACCACGCAGAAGATAAAACAGAAAACCCAATATACGCAATAAATGAGGTGCAAGAATCTGGATATCAGGACATCACACAAAATAAAATGTACAGTACAAATCAAATATTTTCTTAACGAGGAGTTGGACTGTCTATTTCCCTTGGACTCTCTAGTGTGTGTGTGGGTATCTCTCTCTGTTTCTCAAAGTCTTTTTTCTAGATCTTTATCTGAATGAACTTAAAAAAAAGTTCCATTGTTGTTTTAAATCTGCACTGTAAAAACTTCACCACATTGCAGCTAAATTGATATATTGAGATTCTTCGAGTAGGTATGTAGTGCTATCCTGTATCAGCAAACAAAAATCTAAAATAGAACACCAACTTCATAATATATTTATTTAGTAATAATAATCCTTGCATTTGACATATCACGTTGTTGAGATACCACAAAGCACTTTACAAAATATACTGTAAAGTGGATTGGCTGTGGATTTTGTGCGTGAAACACAGTAGCCAATGGCACATAGCAATTAACAGTACAATCCTCATGTGTATATAACTCAAAGGAGGTTTCATTTCCATACAAATGTCAAATAATGATTACATATATAATTTAAATAAAAACAAGCAAAAAGTGTGAGTTTTAACAGGTCTTGCTTACTTCAAAATAAATAGTTTGCTGTATCTACATAATTACAGCCAGTAGTGGATATATTGCCATGAGGGAGATAATATCAAGCTTGCCGCTGTGTTACAACTTTAGTGATGTGCATTTGCAATGTCATTTTCCACACTTGACAGAAAGCTGGGTATAACCCCAAACATACATTATGCTTGTGGCATAGATCTATCCATGCCAATAGATCATAATATAAAGTAAAGAAGTTCTGGTATTCCTCTGCAACATTCAATTAAATGAATTTCAGTATCATTGTTTGTCAAATCATACATGTCTATTGCAGGACCAGATGTCTGCAGCCTCTCCCCTGATACCTGTGCCGACCAGAGATAGAATACTAGACAGTGATATAAATGGCACACTGCAAGTGGTCAGAAAAGCTTATGTTTGTCTTGTGAGAGTGCCTTTCAAAACACCTGCTCATCCTGCCACCCACATGTTACTGGTTCAAAGCACACTGCAGATTTTATGTTATCCTCTGTACTTTGGTTGGTTTTCTCTACTTTCTTTACTATTATGCAAGGTTTTATATATCCTTGCAAGTTGGAATCTATTTTCCCTCTAGAATAACAAACATAATGCAATTTTCAAACTGAATATTATAAAGGAGTAAGATGAATTTGAAGAATATGTAAAACATTACCTAACTTGATAACACATCCAAAATGAGTTTCCATTGAAATCCATTCTGCCCCAGGCAATGTGTGTCTTGCATGCACAACTGTTTTCATTGGGAAGCACAAAGTTGATGGAGTGATTTCTGCGACTTGTCTGTAATGTTTCTCTGATGCCTTTACTGCAGCAGCACATTGCTGCCTTTGCAAGAACTGAAACACATCTCAAGGAATAATCTTCTTTGACCAAATTATTATTGTTATTTTCTTTTCTTGAGGGATTATTATCAGGCATGCAGAGTAAGGAAACTTGCCCAAGGTTTCGTCCTACCAGGAATCGAACCCAGGGCTCTCGCTTGCGAGGCGAGTGCTCCAGCCACTGAGCTATCGGACTCCTACAGCAATATAGCTTCAGTATTGTGTTTTATTTAAGATAAATTATGTATCATATTTATGGAATTGATAGTTACCCAAAGAAGGTTTGTGTCTGTTTTCTGCTCGAATCTCTTGGTCTTTACTACTATACCTTGATCCAAAAGTGGTAGTAGAACCTTCATGAGAAAGGAATGAAAGTGAGGAAAAAAACTACTGGCCATGTGTGTTTAAGGGGGAGGAAGAATAAAATGGATCAAGTTCATTTTTCTCTTATAGTTTTAGGCCATCGTTCAGTAAATTTATAACCAACAGATAAAAATGTCAATGACCCAATTTGCCTGAATGTGTCTTCAATCTGTGGTTGACTGGTTTAATACTCTCACGCCTTACATTACCATAATTTATGAAGTAACGAGACAGGTTGGGTTATTCAACTACTGGTAACTGAACGGTAACATTATGCTGGGTTTAGATCACAAATGTTTTGTTGATGCCACCCTGGTAAATGCCTTGAGTCACCTCACGTCTGTAATGACAGTTAACAGAATACACACTGGACACGGCAGCTAATCCTTCATCATCAGAAGTGGAGGGACATTGTCACGTCCACATGGGTGACTTGACAATGTCAGCCTCTCCACTACTGACGGTGCTATTTGATGGCAACATGTGCTATGTGATGATATGGCTGTGACACACTGTGCTGGAACGTGCGCAGAACTAGGACTGAAGTAAAAGAAAGTGAACAGAGGCTGGATAATGACATGAAGTGAAGCAATCTGACAAGAGGGCACTACTCTTGGCCTCTATGACCTTTGTGGTTTGGTTCTGAGTTTTGTGTAGACCCCAATAAAAATATGCTGAGTGACATATGTGGTTTTATTACACTTAATACATGTAGACAGCATGTGGAGTCCTGTAGCTCAGTGGTTAGAGCATTCGCTTTGCAAGCAAGAGACCTGAGTTCAATTCCAGGCAGAGCGAAACCTTGGGCAAGTTTCCTTACTCCACACGCCTAATAATAATCCCTCCAAAAAAAACAATAATAAATTGGTCATTTTCAATCATCGACTGTTTGTGGGACATTGCTGTGTGCAATTGGCTGCCGCGTTCGCCCACAAATATACAGTCAATTCACTTTATAGTATGTTCTGTGAAGCGCTTTGGGACATCCTCCCGACGTGAAAAGCGCTATATCAAATGCAAGGATTATTATTATTATAATCCAAGTGACATTTCCACATATCTATTTAATGACTGTTGATGGTTGTGCAAAAGTGGCTGGATTTTAGTGGCAATACAGCAAAACAAGTGTGCTGCTGGAAAGAGAGGTGCTTATCCCTCATTGGGGCCTCTTTTCATGAGTTGCTTTTCATGGCATCACTGCCACAAAATAAACGTACATAAGTGGATATAAACAGCCACAAATTGGCAGGCATAATCCCAAACAGGTTTTTTGTTTGTGTGCATACATTATATGTTTTGACAGCAATTAAAGTCATTGTTTTTGAGGCATCCAGTGATGTTAACCTCAGGTTCATTCCTGTTTCACCCTATTACTTGCTACATTTGGCATACAGATAGTTTTGAATAAGACGCTAAGTTGAGTCTTATTGACAATTTTACAATTGTAAAAAAAATTGAGCTACCTAGCTAAATGCAGGTTTGATAGCTGGACTTCTCCAATGGTCTTTTTAAGCATACTGAAACCCTTCAAGTATTAAGCACTGAGAGTCGTGAACCCAAATGACTATAGTCTCTGATTCCTGTATTTTACACTTTTCTTCTTCATAGAGGGTCTTTCTGCCGATACTATCAAACACGCCTCACAGCAGCTGACGAACCGCTGGGAGGAGTTTTGTCAACTGCTGGTGGAACGGACGGCCTGGCTGCAATATCAGAGCAAGATTATTGCTGTTTCCTTTGAGCTACAACAACTTGAGCAAGCTCTGATCTCAGCAGAGACCTGGCTCAAAGCACAGCAAGCACCAGCCACTGACTCAGATACAGTAAAGATCCAGCTGGACAAATGCAAGGTTAGCATATCCAGTTCTTTGGCCAATTAATTATGTATATCTGGGCTTTCTCCTGGTACTTTTGGATTAGGCTAACACTTGACCAGCAACAGTGTACCTTTTCCTCAGAAAAGGCTTTCTTCACTGGGTCACTTTTAGATGCCTTGTTCAAGTGATAAAGGCTAAGTGAAATGCAAGCATTATACAATTCAATTTAGATTTAAATGGTGCCTTTCACATCAGCAGGATGTCTCAAAACGCTTAACACAGCTGGCTTGTTATTTGTATCCTGTTCTTTAATATAGTTTAAAGCATCTGATGGAGACATAGACGTTAGCAATTTACACGAGGAAACTCTCAGTCATGTCAACGTTCAACTGCAGAAAGCTAGAAATCATCCAGGACTCGACAACAGCTATCTATCTGTTAAGTCATTTTAAGAGCGGAGATGTCTGTTAAGTCATCCCCCGAGATTAAACAACAACAACTTGCATTTATAAAGCCCCCTTCACACTGGGTAGCATCCCGGAGCGCTTGACGATGGTAGAGTCTGACACCGAGCCAGGGGGAGAGGGAGAGGTGAGGTGACTGGAAGCACGATCAAAAAGGAAGGTTTTAGGTGGGATTTGAAAGAGGAGAAGGAGGGGCATGGCAGAGGGATCGAGGGAGAGAGTTTCAGAGTTTTGGGGCTTAGTGGCTGAAGGTATGGCCACCGATGGTGGAGCGAAGGGGACGGGGGACAAAGAGGATACTGGAGCCAGCCGAATGGAGGTAGTGTGTGGTGGAGTGGGGGGTTAGCAGGTCGGATCGGTAGCGAGGTGTGAGGGCATGAAGAGATTTGAAAACGAGTGAAAGGATCTTGAAATCGATCTGTTCAGTAATTGGGAGCCAGTGGAGCCTGGCAAGGACTGGTGTGATGGGGGTAGAGAATTTTGTGCGGGTGAGTATCCAGGCGGTGGAGTATTTGAATTAATTGAATTTTGTGCCTGGAGGAGCTGGGGAGACCAGCGAGGAGGGTATCGGAATAGTCCAGCCGGAAAGTGATGAAGGCATGAACAAGGGTTTTGCCTGCGTTGGTGTGAGGTACGAGGGAGGTGGGCAATGTGACAGAGGTGGAAAAAACAATCCTGGTCAGGGAATGATATGTGGTAGAAAGGAAAGCTGGCGATCGAACCTAAGTTGCGCACCTTGTCCAAGTAGTGAAAAGGACACATTTTTTCTGTTGCACCTGCACCATTTCACCCAATCTCTGAGTTGCTGATTCATGTGATAATTTGAGTATCCGTCATCTTGCCAAAAATTACGACTCCTGACTTTTCAGCACTAAATCTTGCTGTGTGTAGTATTCAATCTTTGGTTCTGAAATGAGGACTGTTTGATTTAAGATGGTTCTGAAACCTGGTCATTCATGACTGTAATGAATGCAGTGTAAAGCTGTCAAATCTCTCCAGGATATCCAGTTCTTGATGAGAACTAAATTCTGCTTTTGTGTCAATCTTCAGGATGAAATTGTACGATTGACAGCACTGCAGCCTCAGGTTGATAAGCTGGCTGAGCATGGGGCTGAGCTAAAACAGAAGGAGAAGGTGCCGAAATCTTTGGAGACTGACATCACTGCCTTCAACAATCACTTTTCTCAAGTTCTTGCAGATCTGCAGGCACGAGCGAAACTGCTGCAGTCCAGTAAGTAGTGCTAATTAGGTGACTCAAAGTGCCTGTACTTACCTACTGCTTTGTTGAACAATATCTTCAGGAATATTTGAAATACATAGAATTTGTGATTTCCTTTCTAGCCCATATGTCACCAAATGATACGGGCAATTGCATCTATTTTGAACCGCAGTCATATTTCTGTCCAACTTTTATTGAAGTGTTCCTCTAAAAAAACAAATTCAGTAGTGTTAAAGATGGTGTTGAGTCTTTCCGAGGTCAATAATTCAATAATGAATACAAAAGGTGCTCTTTAGAAGCAATGAAAATAGAGAAATACACCATGAATATTTTATAATACATGTAAACGTTGACAGAAGACTGAAATATGTTTTTTGAGGCTTCCATTTACAGAAGTTATTTGTTTCTTCTTTTTCTTCACACCCTCTTATTGTGTTGCAGTGATTTTTCTTGTGTGAAACTAAATTAAAGTGCTTCATTTCTCTGTTCTCATGGTTTCAACCTTTATGCATTGATCCAGTTTTGATTTATTCCTTTCTCAAAATACAATATTCCTGTTTCTTCGCTGACCAAGACTTTACTTTGTGTTCTTCTATCTTTCCTTCATCTGCTGTTATAAATTCCGAACATCCATTCACTCTACTTTGTATCTGTTTTGCCTTTGTGTTCATTTGTTGCAGTTTATTCTGTCTGTTTCTTCCTCCATTCCTTTTACAACTGCTCCTGATTTAATTGTTTTCTCTTTTGCTAATAGATGTGTTATTTCACCCCCTTTCCCAAGATTTTTTTCGTTTTTGTACTGTCAGCAATGTTCTTTTGTATGGCAGCCTGATTCAGTTGATAACACACTCCCCTGTGGGTTCAAGCCTACAATGGGACTTGAACTTGCATAATCTGGGCTGACGCTTGAGTGCAGAGCTGGGGATGTTGCTCTACTGGAGTTCTTTGTACGAGAGGTTAACGTGAGATTCAGCCTGCCTCTTCAGGTGGATATTAAAGATCTACGGCACGTCTCATAAAGAGAAGAGAGTTTCTGCCGGTGTCCTGGTCAACCCCCACACCACCATGTATTGCCATTCATTACATAATTATTTATGTGACATTACTGTGTACAAATGGGCTGCCTACAGTGATTCCACTTAACAGTAAATCCTGTGAAGCTCTTTGAGACTTACTCTCAATGTGAAAGTTGGTACATCCATTGCAAAGAAAGTTAGGATTACAGTAGTGCTAACTCTGCTGTTTTTCTTAAATTCTCCTCCCTGGATTTTTTTTGTGTTAAACTTCTTTTAAAGGATCATTCTCTTCAGTAATACCTTCTCCTGACCACTTAAAATAAGATTCATTTCTGTCATGTTTTACAGTTTATATTGTTGAAGATGATATTAAAAAATTAGAAAACTGTTAAAATAGGTGGCTTTCTGGCACCATTGAGAATGGGAGCTATCCTTCTGTCTAGAAGTTCCTTTGAAGTTGAGTTTGTTTCCGAATATTGGAATTTATGTGATGAATGAATCCTTTGTTTTGTTGGTTTTAGTCTAACCTGCTGAGAAAGTGGACTTACCAGCAAACTGCTGAGGCAGAATAGTTTTTTTTTGCTTTACTGCAAAGCTGTCAATGCTGATTTGGAATACACTTTGTATGCCTGTTTGTGCTGTGCGAGATTAAAAGAAGGTGCTCTTTTGGTGGCTGCTGAATTTGCCATTAATGCTCTGAAAGAGCTGTCAATTATAAAGTAGGACTTTCACTCAAGGGCCCGCGTGTGTCCTTTGAACAAATTCAAGGATGCATTTTCCGTTGTATGCGCAGATGTATCTGAAAGAGTAGCATATGGCTGAACTCTGCACTCTTCAGAATGCAGAATATTCATTGTGGTGCCAAGGTTAGAGATCTCCTCTTTGACCGAGCCTTTGGCCACCCTCCTGCCCTCCCTGCCCTCCACCCTCCCTTACCTTAATCCCCCCTCCCTGCTCGGGTCCAAATCCCTAACCGTTCTCCCGACGTGAAAGGCGGTATATAAATGTAATTTTGTATTGTATCTCAATCCTCTTTGCCTAAGCCTGAAGTAGATAATCAGAATTTTAAAAGATTGTTTGAATCTGTAAAGCCTATTTTTGGAACAAATCCCCATCATAATCAAAAAAGAGGAAGTATTTTGAATACAGATTTCATAGTGGCAAAATCTAATATGTCCCAACATAAAACAATCTGAACTGTGTTAATTGAAGGAACCTTTTTTTTGAATGTGTTCCCCATAACCACTACACTATGAGGAAAATAGATTATCTGTCACTGCTTGAAACATTTCATTTCAAATGAGTGTTGTCTAGTTCTGCTTACAGCCAAAAAGATGGCTTATATTTTTCATTATTTTAAAAAACTAGTACAGTACTTGGAAAGTCTTTCTGCAACTGATCTGGTTTGTAAATATAGCGTTTAGACTATCATCAACAAAGTTTCTACATTAACTGCAAGACAAGGTTCTTGCTTTCTACGTATCCAATGTGTACAGTACTATATTTTAAGGTCAAGTTGGAAAAAACTGTCTGCCTTATGTTTATTTGTAATGTAATCTTTTCTTTCTCCAGTTCTGAGCAGCTTGCCCACACTTCAATATAGGGAGAGAGTGAACACACTAGCCCTGTGGATCCAGCGATCAGAAGCCAAACTAACTGTCCCTTGTGTTGCAGTCACAGAGTATGAAATCATGGAGCAGCGACTCAGGGAACTGAAAGTATGTATCCATGGTCAATCCTGTTTGCTATGCAGTCTCAATTGTTTCCACAGTTTGAATAATCCTCAATATATTTGCATACCTAATTAGTGTAATGACCCAATTACAGTAATGACCCAATTACAGTAATGGGAGATGGGACAACTACTTCTTTAACAAGTTATGCTCAAGAACAGTAATCTTTTTGCCACTTTCAGTTAAAGTGGTTGGAATCCTCATCTGAAAGATGAGCTCCTCTGGATAGATTTGGACACTGGGGTGTAATCTGCGATGTGCGAGAAAGGAATACAACACGCTATTAGCAAGCTCCATTTTGCTGTCTAACTTATGATGTTCACAAAACATCAGCTTGCAATTTCTGAAAGCCCTTAACTTACAAAACCGATCTAGAAAGCAAGATGGAAGGTATCAATGACAACGTCCCCCGCCTGGCCCTCCCCACTTTCGGGGGTAGGGCCTTCAGCCTCTCCACCTTTGGAACTCCATCCCACAATCCCTTTGCCTAGCTCTCTCCCTTGCATCCTTCAAGGTACATCTCAAGACCCTCCTCTTCGACCGTGCCTTCAGCCACTCTTCTACCCTCCCTGCTCTCCAACCAGCCTTAGTATCCCCTCAGACCCACACACCCCCCACCCGCTCGAGTCCAAATCCCTGACTGTCCAGAGCCCTGGGACGTCCTCCCGACATGAAAGGCACTATACAAATATAATTTTGTGCTGTATTGTATTGCTGGGGTCAAATATCATGTGGCTCAACCACTGTCCTCTACAAAGGTTCTAAGCTTTCTTCAGAGTCAAATTATTCAGCGTCTGCCCTTATTACTGTTATTCCCAGCTGCCATATTTTAGGGTTTGAAGAGCTCTATTATCTGCGTCAGTCAGGGAAGCATGCGTGTAGCGGTCACTGGACAGCAGAGCAATAGTGGGAAAGGAGAGAACAATTGGGTTAGTAGTAGAGAATTTATGTGTTAATGTTAACCTGAGTTACAGAGTCAGTTTAACACAGCTTGCATTGTGTCTGGAAGGCCCATTGATATTACAAGTTGCTAGTCACCTGGCCATTTTACTGCTTTTTGCTTGACTTGAGTAAACAACAACGATTTGGTGTCTACTCAAGAAATGTAATCCTTTTAAATTGTGAACTTTGACTGTTCTGGTACAGCAAGTCCTTCAGTTCACTTTAATTTTATATTTTTTTGGTTAGATTGACTGTTTGAAAGAGAAATGTATTCAGATAATAAGGCAGGACAATGTGATACCACATGATGAATGTGAAATTAGGTGAAATAAAAAGAAATAAAACTACACTGTAGACACAATATTGGGCTTCAGAATGTCCGCTCCATCTCCAACAAGACCCTGGCCATCAATGAACTCATCCTCGATGACATCATGGTACTCACAGAAACCTGGATCACCCCAGGTGACACCTTCCCCCTCACTGAGGCCACACTATCCGGCTACACCTACCACCGTGCCCCACGCCCCAACTGTTGTGGCGGTGGTGTGGCCCTCATATCCAGGGAGTCACTTGCCCTATCCCCCAACTTCACCGGCTAGTTCCCCTCCTTCGAACACCTTACCCTCTGCCATCCCTCCCACCTCTCTCTGAAAATTCTCTTACTTTACCGCCCCCCCAAAATCTTCTCCCACCTTCATCTCTGACATCTCCACCCTCCTTGCTTCCCTCTGCCTCTGCTCCGACCGCCTCATCATCTTAAGTGACTTCAAACTCCACTTCATCCCTTCCTGCTCCACCTCCTCAGACTTCTCCTCTCTCAACCTCTCCCTCCACATCCACTTTGCTACCCACACCCACGGTCACCCACTCGACCTGGTAATCACCCGGGGCCTCAGTGTCTCGGATGTCACCATCACTGACAAGGCCATCTCTGACCACCATTTCATCTCCCTCAACTCCCATATCCCTCTCCCCACTGTCTCCAAACCTACCACCATCTTCTACCGCCCGTGGAGGAAGATCTCCCCGCAATCTCCCTCTGCTGCCCAGGAGTCCTCTGAACTCCTCCCCCTCTGGCCCACCTCTCCAACAACCCACTCGCTGCACTCACGCTTCTCCACAGTGCCCTCTCCACCACACTCAATGTCCTTGCTCCCCTCACCTCCCGAACTGCCTCCTATTCCCGATCCTCACCTTGGTTCACCAGTCACTCCACTCGCTTAAGGGCCAGGTGCGGTCTGCCGAACGCACTTGGCTCAAATCCGGCCAAACGGTCCACCGCCACTTCTGGCTGGACCTCATCAAGACTTACCGCTCTGCTCTCGCCTCGGCCAAATCATCCTTCTATTCCAGGTTAATCCTGGAGGTGAAGGGCAACCCCAGGCTCCTGTTTTCCACCACCAACCAGCTTCTCCGCCCTCCCCGACATGCCTCACAGATACTTTCCTCTAACTTTCACTGCGAGAAAATGCTGGACTTCTTTGAGTCCAAAATCGAGGGAATCTGCTCAGCTGCCACTGCCCTCCCAACTTCTACCCTCTCCCTACCCCCACCCCTCACAATTATGCATCCGACAATTACCCATCCTGCCTTCCACACCTTTGAACCTGTCACCCCCTCCTCTGTCTTCAACACAGTAACCTCCATGAAGCCCACAATCTGCTCCCTGGACCCCATCCCTACCCCTGTCCTTAAATCCCAGCTCCACTTCCTTGCCCCACTACTCGCCGACATCATTAACCTCTCCTGTCATCTGGCATTGTTCCTTCCCCCCTCAAAACAACTACTATCACTCCCACCCCGAAGAAACCTTCCCTCAACCCATCACAGCTATCCAGGTACCGGCCCATCTCAAATCATCCCTTTCTATCCAAGGTCCTTGAGAGAGCTGTCGCCACCCAGCTTCGCTCTTTCCTCTCCTCTCACTTCCTCCATGAACCCTTCCAATCGGGTTTCCGTGCCCACAGCACAGAAACTGCTCTGGTCAAGGTCACAAATGACATCCTGACCACGTGTAACCAGGGCTCCCTCTGCCTCCTCGTCTTCCTCGACCTCTCCGCCGCCTTTGACACCGTGGACCTCTCAATCCTCCTCCACTGCCTCTCCTCCCACCTCAACCTTCAAGGTTCTGTCCTTGATTGGTTCAGGTTCTACCTTTCACACCGCCTCCACTTTGTCGCTGCAAACGGCTTCTCCTCCAGCCCCCACACCGTCTCGTGCAGCGTTCCTCAGGCTCTGTCCTCGGTCCCTTCCTCTTCACCCTCTACATGCTCCCCCTTGGTGACATCATCCACAGACATCGGGTAAATTTCCATATGTCTGTGGATGACACCCAACTCTACCTCTCTGCCTCCACCCTCAACTCCAGAACTACTGGTGTCCTGACCGACTGCCTGTCCAACATCAAGTCTTGGACAAGGGCCAATTTTTTCCAACTCAACGTCAGCAAGACTAAGGCCCTCTTGATTGGCTCACGCCAGTGCCTCTGCACCTCAGACACTGGCAGCATCAGCCTCCACAGCTGCACACTCAACCTCACTAAGCCAGTCAGGAACCTGGGTATCTTGTTTGACCCTGAACTGTCCTTTCTCCCCCACATCCACGCCATGACCGGCATTGCCTACCATGAACTCCGCAACATTGCCAGACTCCGCCACTGCCTCACCCCTCAGGCTGTCAAAACCCTCAGCCATGCATTCATCACATCAAGGCTCGAATACGGGAACTCCCTCCTCATCGGCCTTCCCAACTCTTCCCTTCATAAGCTGCAGATCATCCACAACTCTGCAGCTTGTGTACTCTCACGCACCAGGCTCCATGACCCCATCACTCCCACCCTCACCTGACTCCACTGGCTCCCCATCCCCCAGAGGATCAAGTTCAAGATCCTAGTTCTCATCTTTAAGGCGATCCATGGCCTTGCCCCCTCCTACCTCTGCTGTCTCCTTCCAACCTGCCTGTTCATCGGGCTCCGGCCTGCTCCATGTTTCCCGCCCGACCCACCCTACCATCGGTGGCCAGGCTTTCAGCCTCTCTGCCCCCATACTCTGGAACTCCGTCCCACAGTCTCTTCGCCTCGTTTCCTCCCTTGCCTCCTTCAAGGCCGGTCTCAAGACCCTTCTCTTCAATCGTGCCTTTGGTCTCCCTTCCACCTGTCCGCCTTCCCTCACCCCTACACCACCCTTCCCAAATCATCGGGCCCCGACACCTGACTGTTTAGCGCTTTGGGACGTGCTCCCAACGTGAAAGGCGCTCTATAAATGTAATTTTGTTGTTGTTGAAATCATATTTCTATTCCTGTATATTACACAGCATAAAAAGTCTATGATTTGAAATATAAACAAGTTCTATAATTCATTTTATATTCTCATAACATTTTGGGAGAGTCTGAAGGTTTTCCAATTTCTTTTCTAATTTTCCTTTAAGGCATTGCAAAGTTCCTTTCAGGAGCAGCAGAGTGACCTGAATTATCTCACCACAACTACAGAAGAGATTTCCAGGAAAGCCCCGGCAGAAATCAGCCAGAAATATCGATCAGAGATCGAGGGGCTCCTTGGCCGTTGGAAGAAATTATCCTCTTCTTTGATGGAGCAGAGCCAGAAACTTGAGGAGCTGATGACAAAGCTTCAGCAATTTCAGGTACATTACAATCTTCCATCCTATCAGTTTACCAGTTTGTAGCTTGGGAAGCTTAGCCCATCATACATAGAAATACTGAAAGACCAATCCTGGAGCGAGACCCTGTCTCTGATCAACCTTTAAGAGGTGTTCATTCTCTGACGTTTGGACCTTTAGAATGATAGAAATGTTGTTCTCCATAGATTGTATCATTAATATCCTTGTATTTGATATAGCGCTTTTCACGTCTTCTAGACATCTCAAAGCGCCTCACAGAATATACTGTAAGTGAAATTGACTATTTTTGTGGGCGAATTGTGGCAGCCAATTGCACACAGCAGTGTCCCAAAAAGAGTCGTGGATTGAATTGACCAAATTATTATTGTTTTTTTTTCTTGAGGGATTATTATCAGGCATGTGGAGTAAGGAAACGGAGTAAGGAAACTTGCCCAAGGTTTCGCAGTGCTGGGAATCGTACCCAGGTCTCTCGCTTACGAGGCGAGTGCTCTGAATTACAAGACCCCACATTATGCCCAGTACAGCAATCTGAGATGCCATCCTGTGTGAAGGCTACTATCTAAATGCAAGTTGTTGTTCTCTCTCTCTCTCCACAACCCTCTAATCCAGTTTTATTTTAGTGAGTGAGTGAGCTCCTAAGAACACTAGGTTGAAATCCAGGAGCTCACAAAATAGATTGAAATTACTACTGCCAGAGTTTCTTCCCTGAAGGGTGATAACTAATAAAACTACATAATAAAGTTAAGAAAATACATTTCTAAGCTGAGTTCATTTATTATTGAATCTGCTTGGAATCAACAACAACAAGATTTAATTTATAGAGTGCCTTTCACGTCGGGAGGACGTCCCAAGGCGCTGGACAGTTGGGTCAGGACCCGAGCGGGGGGGAATTTGTCAGGGTGAGGGGAGGGAAGGGAGGGAGCGAGGAGGGGGTAGAGAGTCGGGAGGGGAGCTGAAGGCACGGTCGAAGAGAAAGGGCTTGAGACCGGCCTTGAAGGAGGAAAGGGAGGAGGCGGCGAAGGCACTGGGGGATGGAGTTCCAGAGCCTAGGGGCTGAGAGGCTGAAGGCCTGGCCACCAATGGTAGGACGGTTGGGGCGGGGGATGTGGAGCAGACCGGAGCCAGAGGAACAGAGGGTACGGGCAGGTAAGTAGGAGGATAGTAGGTCAGAGAGATAGGAGGGAGCAAGGCGTGAATGGCCTTGTAGGTGAGGATGAGGATCTTGAATTCGATCCTCTGGGGGATGGGGAGCCAGTGGAGGCGAGTGAGGGTGGGAGTGATATGTTCCCGAAGCCTGGTGCGGGACAGTACACGAGCTGCAGAGTTCTGAATGACCTGCAGCTTGTGAAGGGAGGTACCGGGAAGGCCGGCGAGGAGAGAGTTCCCATAGTCCAGCCTTGAGGTGATAAAGGATGATGAAACTTCATCATTTAAAATCTCTTACTAGAGACAAGGCATGGATAAGCACGATCAAATTGCTGCCTTCAAATTTCGTAATTCTCCAGCAAATTCAGTAAAAAAAAATCACAATATCAAAGGCTAGCAAACGTTTCACGTTATTTCCCAGTTTAGTTGGATTATTTGGATCTTTATATGACTGAGAAATAGTCTGAAGCTAAAATGCCAGCTCCCTTAAAACGCCAGCAACTGGTTCAAATGAGCGGAAGCTTTGTTTACCTGAATCACCCAGGCCTCTGAAATGGATGTTTTTTTATTTAATACCTCAGCCTACAAATGTGGTTGTGATTGAAGCAGGTTGTCAATTTAATTGACACATGCTATCATTTCTCTACCTAATTGTTAATTTTATTTGTCCTTTCTTCCTGGCCACTAGTTTTAGTTATATTTTCTCCCATTCCGTGGCAGTCCCTTCTGCTCGACCAGGAGAAATAAGGTTATGGGAGTTTTTACTTTCCGAACAATTCAGGACCGTAAAATGCTGATATGTCTCAGTTTGTTCAATATCCATTAGTTCATTAAGTGTCAGGATGCGTCAGTTGGTTGACTCTTGCCTCTGAGTCAGAAGCTTGTGAATTCAAGCCCCATGTCGGCAATTGAACTCAAATATTCTTGGCTGACACTCCAATACTGTACTGTAGGTGCCATCTTTCAGATGAGAAGTTAAGTGAGGTCTCATTTTCAAGTTCAGGTTAAAAATCCCATGGACACTACTCAAAGTTTCTCCTGCTGTCCTAGCTATTGATCCCCTGCTAAAATTACTTACTTCATGGCTGTTTGTAGGACATTGCTGGGTGCAAATTAGCTGCCACATTCATCTACAAAATGGAATCATTACACATTACAGTAAGTCCTGTGAAGTGCTTTGAGACATCCTCTGACATGACAGTCACTATATCAAATGCAAGGATTACCATTATAACCAAATTTTCGCAAGATGTAAAATATTGTTGAATATGCACCAGTGTCTGTTGGATTATTTGGAATCATTCAAGTTCAGGGTGGTCCGAAACCAATGTCTGATTTCTAATGAATGCTCACCTCCACCTGGCCCTAGTTTTACTGACGTTAAACAATGATAAAGTATAAAGATCACACCATCAGGAAGGAGACAAGATGCAATTTGAAAATACCACTTTAGTAGGAATAATGTAGGCAACATTGGAGTAGCTGGGCTTAATAAATATGCAGAATCAATAATAAATCAGTATTAAATGTACTCAACCTCATTCAGTTATAATTGTGTCATTTGGTCCTGTAGCATTGTCCTGGGAAGATTGCAATCACAGTACTTTGTGCAGCTGAATAGCATAGATTCCAGGCTGCAGGATGTTACAAGTTAAATGAAACTGCAGCTCTCAGAATTATATTGTGCAGAAACTTTGCAGGATTTTTTTGTGCTGGTAATAGAACAGCTGAGATAAAGCTTACAATGTCCTGGTGTTAAATAGAATGACACAAAAACGCTGAAGAAATGGATGGCTGAAGTGGATGTTTTTCTGAATGAAGAATGGCCTGCTCTGGGTGACTCAGAAGCACTTGAAAAGCAGCTGGAGCAATGCACTGTAAGTAAATTGTCTGTAAGGCTAATTTTAAGGTGTATAAGAAGTGACACAACCTCATACATTAAATATCCATACTTAGAGCGCAAATTTACTTTCGATTCCATTGCCTTAACCCTTGGATTCGTGGCTGCCATAAGCTAAAACAGAGATAAAACAATTTCATTAATGCTATCTATTCACTGCAGCAATAATAAACTTGCGTTACTGGGGTTCTGAGAATGTAAAAATAGATAGCTGGTAGGGATTGTAAAAAATAACATAAGCCTGAGGATAAACTCCCAACAACTTTTACTATCATCAGAAGCTCAATTTCTGATTACTGTCATTCACTCATGATAAGAATTATTTCAGATTTTGCCAGATTTATTCCAATGCCTATTATTAATTCTCTAGCACTCCATCCGGAGTCCCTTCATTGAGTGTCTTCTCTCATTTCCTTCAAGTTCTATCTCAGGATCTTCCTCTTTGGTTATCTTCCCCCACCCCCCCCAGAATTCAACCCCCAGCTCAGGTGCAAACCCTCAGCTGTCCCAACACCTTGGGACATCCTCCTGACATGAAAGGCATTGTATAAATGCAATTTTTTGTTTTGTTGATGAAGTTGGTGACCAAGCTGGATGTTTCTTCATATAGCCATTGAGGGGGTGAAGTTCACTATTGACACAGATAACATAAGACCTGAAAGTGAACAGCTTGTACCCCATTAATACCAATTTTGTTTAGAAAATAGAGACCGTATTTTATATATGACATGGTTAAAATCTGGGTGCAATTTCCATATTAATCAATTTTCTAAGCAAACGGGAGGAATATGAGATATTATTATCTGACCTTATCTCTCTAGATATTTATTTGTATATTTATATGAATGTATGCCTTACACATCATATGATGTTTCTTTGCAATATGATACTATGTTGGGAATTATTTATTTTTCATTGTTCAGTATATTTTCAAAAAACTGTGTGTCCAATTATTTTTAAGATTTTCTCTGCCCCTGGTCAGACCTCTCTGCCCCTGGTCAGACCTCTCTGCCACTGGTCAGACCTCTCTGCCCCTGGTCTGGTCTCTCTGCCCCTGGTCTGGTCTCTCTGCCCCTGGTCTGGTCTCTCTGCCCCTGGTCTGGTCTCTCTGCCCCTGGTCTGGTCTCTCTGCCCCTGGTCTGGTCTCTCTGCCCCTGGTCTGGTCTCTCTGCCCCTGGTCTGGTCTCTCTGCCCCTGGTCTGGTCTCTCTGCCCTTGGTTTCGCCTCCTATTGATAAGATGGATTTCCACATGTGAAGTGACTGTTGTTCGTTTGTGAGCCTTGGCAATTAGTGCTAGGGGATCGCTACAATACTATACAAATTGACATTTATATAACACATTTCATGTCAGGAGGATGTCCCAAGACGCTTAGAGGGAGTCAGGTCGATGAACTCTCCCTATCTCATTGCCACTCATATGCATAACCAGTGGAAGGTGCTGTAGAATGGTTCAGGAGCAGGAACCCTGGCTGATTTTTCTCTCCCTATCCCATGGAAGGCCGGGGCCAATTTAGCCTCTCCATGCATCCGTGGTTGAGACCAGCAAACTGAGCATGACACAGGATTCGAACCAGTGAGTTTCTGTTCTGTCATTTGTAGCTCTGTCCATAACAGTGCACAGTATATTTTCAACCAAATGTTCTGAGAATCTGCTGGGCACAAGGTGGGCAATGGCCTGGTAGATCCACTACATATATTCAACTTCTTCACTGAATAATATTTTAAATGAAGACATTTTATTAATTTAAACTGTGACAAAAAGAATAGAAGATATTTTTTGTGAGTTAAAGGCAGCAATTTAGGGTTTGACATTCTTAAATGGTTTTGTTTTCTGTTCCTGACATCAAACCCACTTGCCAGAATCGATGTAATAGCTTCTAGCTCACAGCCATCTATTATTTTCCATTTATTGATTATAACTCAAATATTAGCAGTAACACTGAATCCCCAATATCTTATTTTGTGTAAAGGAAAACGTCAGAAAGAATAAGTTCAAATCATTATTGTGTTTAAAAATAGGATAGCCACTGGCGGATCTAAAAGGGAGTTTAAGAAGAACTTCTTTACGCAGAGGTTGGTGAGAATGTGCAACTCACTGCTGGAAGCTGTGGTTCAAGCAAAACTCAATATATATCTCTATGAGGAAACTTGATGCTTAAGTGAGGGAGATGGGAATGAGAAGGGCTGAGGCTCATGTGGAGTTTAAACACTGAAATGGACAAGATGAGCCCAATGGCCTCTTTCCTTGCTGTAATGTTCTATGTGGTTCTATATTTGATATTTGGCATCTGAGATACAGAGAATGACAGCAAAAACTGGATATATTACATTGGAGAACTGATCAAAACTGTCTAGATCGTAAAGGGTAGACTTAAGATAAATTTTGTTAATTTCTTAATGTGGTCAAAATATCCACAACAAGGAAATCACAGTCCAAAGTAATCCAGGGGCATTTCCATGGGCAATGTGGAAACTGTGACTGCAATTACTGATGCACTTGAAAATGTATCTGAGGAGATCTATTTACTTTGGAGTATGCTGTGTTTCTTTCAGTATTGTTCAATCTCTCCACTTTATTAGCTGGCATTAGGTAGATAAATTGCACAGTTTAGTTGCAGTTTAACTGAACATTGCAGTTCTGCCACACATTTCTCCACTTGGGCGTCTTAAGTAATTTGATGACTGATTTGTACTTTTTTTCTCAGGCACTGGTAAATGACATCCAAATGATTCAACCCAGTTTAAACAGTATTAATGAGGTTGGCGAAGCATTGAAAAAACAGGCTGAGCCTGCATTTGCCAACAAATTACAAACTGAACTCGCCGAGCTGAATGCTTGCTGGGAGAACATCTGTAAACAGGTGAGAGATTCAACATGTGTAAGCTGAAGAAGTCATGCTTTCAGACACCTGCCAATTGATACAGAAAAACTGAAGCAATTTGATGTGATAAGGCGCTATATCGAATGCAATGATTATTATAATCAGCGTGAGAGCTCTCGGAGCCTGCTAAGCATGATATTAAAGGGCTACACTATCTTGTGAGCTCTAGCATTGAGTGTGGGGGGGCATTGGTAGAGTCAACATTTCTCTGCGAAACATTGAGCAAATAGCAAAATTCCCCTTTTATGATAAGTGTATGCGCAGTTAATGAAATGCCGTAAGTCCTTCAGGCCTCTACCTCTTCCTCCAGCATTATGTCACCGCATATGCTATGCGTTCAAGACATTCTGATACAAAGAATATGGTGCCGAGCTTGATGGTCTGAACGAGTTTTTCTCACCCTGATGTTTACTGAGCCACATGACAGAGAGTTGCAGGCACAGGTGGAATGTGGAATTGGCTGACCAATGGGTGTTTTGAGGATGGGTAGAAACTCGTTGTCTCCAATTTTTTTTAAGTGTAACAGTGATAACTTTCGGCAGTTTGATGATGTAACACATGTTTGTTGATTGTCACCAGTAGAAATTTAAAAAAACTGGCAGTTGTGTAGGTCTCGTAATACATTGAATGGTTTTAGGAGTTCCAAAAATAGTTGGTTTTGAACACAGTTCATTTCAAGTAAACCACAAAAATTCTTTCCATGTTTTAGTATTAGGCAAGTATAATGAATAATTTTCCTGTGTCAAAATTTCTGAGCCAAAAGGGTGAATAGTTTGATTATATGCTGACTGTGTCTACTGTACTTCAGGGGAGCGATGTGTTGATTTGGATTGTGTGATGTCGATCCCTTTTAAGCCTAAAAAGAGAGCTGGCTTTCTGCCTCCTAAAACTCTAGTGTTTATCAATCAGTATTTGTGGAGGACCCTTAAATCTTGACCTATTTTAATTGATTTTAAAAGTACGAACACGAAACAAAGTGGCAGCAGTCTCAATGTCTAATAATATCCTATAAACAGAATTTGTGGCCTGGATCATGACATCAGGGTTGACAGCCAGATCCACTAATCCTGCCTCAGTTTCTTTCTCAGCAACTTTATGCTGCAAACAATATTATCTGAGAAATAGCACAAATCTGAGCTCCAACACAGAGCCTCCTGATTTTGTATGGCTCAGGAACACATCACACAATGCAAATACTCACTGAACCATTGTAGAATCTCAGAAACCAGGTCCTTGGTGCTTCACTTTTATATTTGTTTGTTTCATTCCATTTCAGTATATAAACCCAACACTTTTCGCTGCTGAAAATCTCAAGAGCAATATTCTAGTTAATGTTTTTTTTAAATGTGGATTTAAGACCTTTAAAATGTTCATTGAGTGCAAAATGAGAAATCGTAATGTTATATTCACCCAGCATGTGTGCAGTATAAAAACTGTTAAGTACATATCTGTCTGTGCAGAGCAATTTCATGCATTTAAAAGCTGTATTTATGCTTATAAGATATAACACGATTATTACATGTGCACAGATTTTTAATGTATTAAACTGGAATAATCTTTGAAATATTCCATAATCTTTGAAATATCCCAGTGGAATGCTGAAGCTTCAATAAGCACCATTTAAGGAATATTTCACTAGCCTCTCCACTCCAGTTCTAGTGTTTTCCAATGCCTTGGGATGTCCTCCTGACGTGAAAGGGGCTACACAAATATAATTTTGTTGTTGTTGTAATGAACAGATTTTTCTTACCACATTATCTTTGGAATACTTCACTGGACCCCTCTTAGGTCCCATAAATATTCTTTTCCCAAAACATTTTCCTTAGAATCCTCCAGCTTGTGTTGAGCGTTCGGAACCACCTCGTAAATCACCCCCTCTCTATCTGATTTCCTCCTCTGTGCTGATGCTAGGAAAGTCAGAGGGTCATTCATGAGTCGGTAATGGTGTCTGAGTGAGGCTATGCCACCTCTCCTTATTTCTCTTGCGTTCTGGATTCATTCCTTCTACTTTTGAATCGTTGGGTTTTCTGCCCTTCACAGCTGGATAGTGCTAATGGGTGTTTGCATAGTGATTATCTCCTGGCAATGATTAGCAGGTACTCAATATAGCTGTTTATGCCAGAACCTGATCTGTCATTTGACAGATAGGCACATGAATGAAATAAACATTCTGATCTCTGATAGGCCACACGTGGGAGGTTTTGTGCCGTTTTAGGCATGCGATTTTTAAAATATATTGAAGCTTTGGAGAGGGTGCAAAGAGCAGCAACATGAATTAAACACAAACCTCAATCCCCGAAAGTGAGGGACTCAAAATTTGTTTTCCTGCAGAGTACGAGATGCTTGGGTCAAATGATTCCTTAAAAAAATCTTCCTAAGAGTTTGTTTGCAAACAGAATTAGGTACAGAATGAAGTGACGAAATACTTCAAGGAGCAGAACATGTTGCAGTGCTAGGGACAGGGAGTTTTGTCTGGTGTGCTATTGTCACAATTGAATATTAGAAGTGTAGGACAAATGAATCACAGAGTTTCATTTCATTACCTTTGGGGAATCTTGAGAATATTTATCTGTGTCAGGGTAGGTTTTACGTGCAAGAGATCTTGATGGGTGATAAGGCTCTTATTTCCTGCTGTTTTTAAATGTTTTTAACCTCTGTCCTAGTGTACTGCAAAGCAGATGTAGGATGGAAATGGGAGTGAATGTGGTGGAGATGGGATAGAAAGAAGAGAAAGGCTCAGTTGCTCAATCTATTTGTATTGCACATTTTCTCCAGTACAAATGTAACACAAATTGTGTTCGTAACTTCGCCTCGCTCCCTCCCTTCCCATTTTCAGGTCTCTGCTGAAGACCTTTCTTTTCGACTGCGCCTTTGGTCACCTTCCTCCCCCTATTAGGGATCCTAAACTGTAACGCCCCCTGAGACGCCGTCCGGCGTGGAGGGTGCTATATAAATCCAAGTTGTTGTTGTTGTTATGATTCGGTTTACCACTGTCTTAAAAGTGAGTGATTGCAGCCTCTTCCTGATTGAGATTGATTCTTACTGCTCAAATAGGCCTTGTTTGAATTGTTGCTGGTTTGGCATGTGGTTCCAGATGACTATGGTTTCTACACGGCTGTCCTCCTTGAGGCTTGCTGGTTGACATGTATCCTCAGCTGACAGTTCCCATCGGGCACATTTAGCTGCCCCATTGGTTTCTAAACTAGAGTGAAGAAACCGTGATCTCACTTACTGATTTCTTTCTTCCTTCGAGAGTAAATAGCCAATAGACCTGACCTGTTAGTGGGTTGAAGCTCTCAGCTGACAGCCATGTCCTACAATTACTTCAACCCCTTTGTCATAAATGTTTTAAAATTGATTTATAGGCAAAAATCGATGAGGAACAAATGTAACAGTGCCATTGGTATATTAGATGGTGTACCAGATGTGATAGACATTTCATAGTAAAATATAGAAATGTTTTCACTTGTATGATGGAAGGTAAACTCAAAGTGCCCTGTAAAGTTCAGGAGCTTAAAACTCTCTTTCCTTTGATTTGATAAAATAGGCACATACCAAAAAGACTGCATTAAAGGGTGGCCTGGATAAGACCATGAGTCTCAGGAAAGACCTGTCTGAAATGCAGGAATGGATAGCACAAGCTGAGGAAGATTACCTGGAAAGGGATTTTGAGTACAAAACACCAGAAGTGCTCAAGAAGGCTGTGGAAGAACTAAAGGTAAAATCTGGTTAACAAGTCTTGATTTGTTTGGGTTCTCTCGCCTTTATTACTTCCAGACTGAACTTCTCCGATATACTCTTCACCAGCTCCAGCAGCCATAAGCTATAGCTCATCCAAAGTACAGCCGCTCGCATCCTTTACTTTAGCTTTACTTCAAGATCCTCACCCTCACCTACAAATCGCTACATGGCCTCAGACTTCCATACCATTATCCTGTCAGCCCCTCCACTTGGTAATCTGGAGCCTTTACGTTTTTCTCACCCCTTCGCCCCTCGCTATCAATGGCAGAGCTTTCAGTCAGTATGCCTTTAACCTCTGGAACTCCCTCCCTAAATTATTGGCTCTTCCCCTCTTTAGTCTCTAAAAGAAGCAGAGGGGAGGTGAGAAGAAAGTTTTTCATGCAGCGAGTTGTTCGAATCTGGAACGCATTGCCTGAAAGGGTGGTGGAGGCTAATTCGATAACAACTTTTAAAAACGCGGTGGATGGGTATTTGAGAAGGACGGGTTTGCAGGGTTATGGGGAAAGGGCTGGGGAGTGGGATTGACATTAATTGCTCTATTCAAAGAGCCGGCACAAAGTCGATGGGCCGAATGGTCTCTTTTTATGCTGTACGATTCTATGATTCTATGATTTATATGTCTTTAGAAGCAGCCTGCAAACCTAACTTTTCAACTGTATCTGTGGTCTCCTCCCACTTCAACACCCTTTGTTTGATGGCTGGCACCATATCTGTGGAGAGATTGTAAATCGGTGTTGCACCATTATTACTTGTGGAATGATAATATAGATCTCATTGTTGATTTCCATGCCACGTTTCATAACTTTGTGTTTTATTACAATCTTAAAGGCCATATTGTGACTTGAGTCTTTTGGGTCTCAAAAAGGTTGCAATTTAGTAGCTAAAATAAGAATCTCATTACCTTTTAATGAGGCTTCTATCAAACAATTGAAGCATTGAAATGCAATGCTTTATGCAAAGAAAATCTGAGAATGTAATAATATGACAAAGCACTTAACAATAATTCCAGGTTGATATATTTGCCACTTCTGCCTGAATTTCGGAATTTTAGCTTTAACCAAAGACAAGTTAAAATAGAGTATTTCTTTGACATGAATTCAGCCAAGAATATTTTGGTTGGGATTGTGCAGTATTTAGAGCAAACATCATGCACATTTTACCTGAGTCAATTTTCATAACATCCCACCTGTCCATTTGCAGGTTTGCGTTAAGAACTATTGTTTGCCATTGCTTTGAGTAAGCTACCTACTATCAAAACCTTTGATATTGTCCAGTCAACACATCATTGGAAATGCCTCATGATGACTTCTAATTTTTATATAAACAGCAGCAAAGCTAAAATACTCATCAATAACCGAAAAAGGCCAAATAGCACTTGTTTTACTAAGCAGCAGCAACTGATGTTGCTTGGTAACAGCACGATGAATATCTAAAACCTAATTATGTTTCAATGACATGATGGATTTTGGCATTAAAGTGCCAAAGTAGTACAGAGAGCTGTGTGCCTTTTCAAAGTAAAGTTTAATTTGAATAAATGGTGACTGTGCAGTTTGGGCAGTTTACAGGATCACGAGAGGGGTATGAATGAAGAAAACCCACTCTACTAAGTTCCTAATTCGACTATCGTCATCCCTCCAAGCTACCCTAATTCAGCTTCAGACCAATTACTGTGCAAATAAATGCTTCCTGGTGTCTGCCCTCTTGTCCTGCTTCTTGGCTATCAGCTATCTGAAAGTGATGTTCTGTTTGCTTTCACTCTACCATTTAGCATCTTATACATCTTTATGAGGCTCCCTCTAAGATGCCTCTTTTCAAGTCGGAAGAGCCCTGAATTATCTTGTCCTGATGCCTGCTCATGCTTCTAACTCTGGGGATAAGCCTTGTTCCTCTGCACTGCCTCCAGGCCCTGAGAAACCTATTTATGTCATAGTAACCACAGTAACTGTATGCAGTACTCCAGGGTTAAGAAGTTCCTGTCTGACACGATTTGACATTGCTTCTGTTGCACCACCACGGTGGCTTCTGCCTTTCAAAATGTTTAGCCTCAATATTTAGCATGTTGACAGCTAACTCCCAACAGCTTTACATCTGACTGAGTGGAAAAAATTAAGAATCTCGAGGTTAAAAATACATTCAACATCAGGAACATAAAATCAAGTGTCAGGTAATTTAGTTCTTCAAATTGAGAATCACTTCCTGTGATTCATATTATTTCGTGCAGCTCTCTGTCCAAGGTCCTGAAAAATAAATTATATTTATGATGAAGTGTAACTACACGCTATAGGATAACAAATGAAACCAACAAAAGCGAGGTTTTCCCCTTAGTCTGAATTTGCGAGTGTAGAATTGTGAGTGTTCAGTGTTATGTCTCACAGACAGGTGCACCTTATTTTCTACAGAGAGCGAAGGAGGACATTTTGCAAAAGGAGGTAAAGTGAAGCTCCTCAGTGATGGTGTTAACAGCTTCATAGCAAAGGCACCACCTGCAGCCCATGAAGCTCTGAAGTCTGAACTGGACATGCTGACGGGCAATTACCAGCGACTCTGCAGCAGATTGAATGGAAAATACAACACATTTGAGGTCTGTTTGACTACAACATTTTGAGACTTCGTTGAATTTTAAATATGTGCAAAGTACTTGAAAACAGCAGTGCTTCAGTATACCTATCATTTTATATATTGCAGTATCTTTTGAAGTGTTGTAGTACTATATTTAATTTCTAGATTGCAAGTTTTTTTTTGAAGTTATTAACTCTTGGCAATATTTGAAGTGGAAGTACAGGAACTCTGGCTGATTTTCCTTCTTCCTAACCCAGGACATTATATTGTAGTGGCACAACTGCTCCCCTCCACCACAGCCCAGTGTAAATCAGTAAATCCAATAGAGACTGAGATTTGAACCTGCAGCTTTTGGCTCAGTGTTAATGTTTACTTTGATCTTGATGTAATCTTGTTTTGTAGAATTGTGAGTGTCTAAGGTGGTGCCTTTACCTATTAGGCCATTGGAAGAACTAAAGGTCTCTTTTGATGCTTTTGTTGACTCTTTTCTCTCTAAATTCTCTATTGATGTGATTGTTTCAATGTGAATGTATTCATGAACTTATTTTGGATGGTTGCGTGCAGCTGAAGAATATTTTCTGCATCCTGTTTTTAGCTTTTTGTACATTATTTCCTTGTTTTGAATAAGATTTTTATATTGAATATCTTATGTTTGATTTTCAGGAGGTGTGGTCCTGCTGGTGTGAATTGCAATCATATCTGGAAGCAGAGAATAGATGGCTTGATGAACTGGAACATAAACTCGGGGAAACAGAGAATTTACAGGGAGGAGCAGAGGAAATCTCAGAGGCACTAGATGTAAGTGTCGGTGCCAATAGACTTACTGATTTAATTTGATATCAATGCAGTATTCATTAGAAAATGCTTTACAATGAAAGTAACAGGAATATTACCTACATTTGATATAGCACTGTGTTTATCGGCCTTATCATCAGACTGTGCAGGCTTGGGATTTGGGAATTGCTTGCTGCAAATTTCACAATCCAATGTTCATAAAATGGAAGTCACAAGTCAAGCAGTCATAATCAACACTTTTTTTTGGGGGGGGGTCGTTGGGAGAGTGCAGCCGAGTGTCTGGCACATTGCAAAATCCATCGACATGCTTAAAAGTATCCAAAACAAACTGAGAATTCCAGGCATCCCATCTATACATGGAAATCCCAGAGATAGATTGTTAGAATGGAATGGGCATTCTCTCCCTGGAGGGATGCATCCTGCTTACCTAATTCCGGAAAGTATTAGGCGCAGGTTGGCAAGAGCCAAGGCTTGGGGACCCCAAAGTGTGTGTTGGGGTACTGTTGGAGTCTTACCAGTCAAAACCGCATAGCTTGCTATTGATATTGCTGTCTGGCAAGCTTTCCCGCTGCTCATTATTTATAATTAACACAACAAATCCGATTATTACATTTTGCATTTTAGACACTCAGACTATCTGTGTAATGTAGCAAATATTGTGTAGTAAAGATTACCAAATACTGAAGCAGGTCTAGGAACCATAGAAGCCATTCTGAAAAAAAATAGAGATAATGATAGAGAATTATTGGATCAGCTGAATTAAAGTTTAAAAACATTTGTAAAGTTGAAAAGATAAACTAGGAGGAAGGTGGCTTTGAGGGTACTATTGGGTTGCTGAAACTATTGATAGAGTGTGCGACAGCAGTAAAGAGAACGTGTATAGCCGAAGGGACAGAATATAATTCATAGGAAATTATGTCAAACTTGTACAGAACATATGTCTGGCCCCAGCTGAAATACTGTGTTCTATTCTGATCATTCATTCACAGAACTTGCAATGGAACAAGTACATTGAAGGGCAATTACAATTATAGCTAGAATTAGATGTCAGAGTTACGAGAAAAAGCTTCCGAGGTGGGAATTTTCCCACTGGAGAAGGCGATCTTGTTCGGGATCATAAAGGATGCAAATAAAATGTACCCTAACAATGTTCAAAATAGCCATTCAATGTTGAAAGGTGAAGAGACTGTTCAGATTTAATTACTTTACCCAGAGATTGGGAAAATATGGAAAAATAATAATAATAATAATCCTTGCATTTGATATAGCGCTTTTCTCATCGGGAGGACGTCCCAAAGCGCTTCACCGAACACACTGTAAAGTGAATTGACTGTATATTTGTGGGCGAACGCGGCAGCCAATTGCGCACAGCAATGTCCCACAAACAGTCGTAGATTGAAAATGACCAATTTGTTATTGTTTTTTTGTTTTGGAGGGATTATTATTAGGCGTGTGGAGTAAGGAAACTTGCCCAAGGTTTCGCCCTGCCTGGAATTGAACTCAGGCCTCTCGCTTGCAAAGCGAGTGCTCTAACCACTGAGCTACAGGACTCCAAGTAGGAATAGCTTACTTAGGGAAATGGTTGTAGAGACAGATTGTGTCAGCACATTTCAGTGTGACAGCTATTTGGTGAAGATATTGATGGCATGAGAAGTAGAGTATGATGATTAATTTAAAACTGGGCCCGACCAAATGGACCACAATGGCCTTTTCTGCTCCAGGACATTTTTATCCTTCTATACTCATTCATCTTCTGCTGTCCTGTGCTATCTCATGCTCGCTATTACCCAACATCCAATTTCTTTGTGAGAAGCTGAAGGGATTTTACATCTAGAAAGTCCTATTCAGGAATTGGCATTCATAATAGGCTACCCAATATAAGGCAGCTACTAATTTTAGAAAGCAGGAACGCAGCTGTCTACCAAAGGATTCAATTAATGTAACAACTGAATGTAATCCAAATGCTGAGTGCATTATAACCTAAGTTTGGCTGCCTTCAGGCCTGCCTCCTTTATGCTTCACACTTAAAGTTCTCACTCTGAAAGTATCGCAGAGTTGATTCTTGCCTTTCTTGTAATTTAGCATGCGCGATGTAGCAGCAGATTGGACTATATATGAAACTACTTTTAAGGGTTTTACTTTTGTTAAAAGGAATGAGTAAGAACCAACAGCATTGTTCCTGAAGCTTTTCCAGTCTCTTTCCTTTCTGACTGTAGCTGAATGTTCTTAATCATATTGTCTCTTTCTTCACCTGTACATCCCTTCTCTCTCAAGCTCTTCTCTCACTCCTTTTCTCTCACCAGCTCACATCCAAAAGCCTGAATGTTATTCTCTTCTCCTCACATCACTACGAACAAGTACCTAAATTCTAAATAGCTGCGTTATAAGTTCAATGTTATACTCATTTCAGAAAGTCCTACCACATGCTTCCCTCATTTTTGTATTATGTTCATAATTTGGGACGCTGTTAAGAATAACTACACAACAACATAAAAAGTACAGAACTAGTTGTTGTTCTTTGTTTCAGCACTAGTCACTGCGCCACATCATTTTGAACATGCAAGACAACTTTAGGTGTCAGCTGCTTGTTTGAGTGCTTATTTCTGTGAGCATAACGTTTTCATTCTGTATTTGGTCAGAAGAGAAAATCATTGCAGTCGGTAATTTGCTTGTAAATACTTTGGATTGAAAATACATTGGTTGAAACAAGAAGAGAGCTGTGCAATCTAGTTCTATTCCTGTATACTATGCTAATACAACAACAACAAAATTACATTTATAGAGCACCTTTCACGTCGGAAGGACGTCCCAAAGCGCTGAAATAGAATTACAGTTGGCCATTGTGACATATTCGCCTGTACTAATTTGATTGGGTCTTTATGAGACACTTACTACCTTGCATAATGCTCTCATTTTCTACTTTTATAATTTCCATTCACGTACATGATTAGAAATTCTCATGTAAAGTCCAGAAACATTAAAGATGAAACAAAATGGCCTGGAACCTTGATAGTGTGCGCTAAGATGTTGTCACATATTGTTCTGCCAACCTAACATTATTTCCTGGTACAGTGGTAATCTCCCCTTCAATATTATGTTTATAAAGTAGGAACCTAAGTAGCCTAATGGAAGTTAAACATGCTATCTTGTCAGCAAAATCATTCATACTGCAGCCAATAGTCTCAATCAGTATTAACCATTTCAGTACATGATGTGCTTGACATGACCTGTGACTTAATTTGGTTTCAAACTGCATTTCATCATTGCAAAATGACACAATCTATAACATGGCCTTACTTTCCCTGACATAATACATGATCATGCAAAACAGTGCTGATAATGTGCTAACATATTGAGTATGCTTCTGTTTGTTGGCATTCAACAACAACAACAAGATTACATTTGTATAGCGCCTTTCACGTCGGGAGGATGTCCCAAGGCACTGGACAGTGTACAGCATTTCAGACCCGAGCTGGGGTTTGGGGCTGGGGAAGGGAGAGAAGGGGAAGGGGGGTGGCTGATGGCATGGTCGAAGAAGAAGGTCTTGAGGCAGGACTTGAAGGAGGCTAAGGAGGGGATGAGATGGAGTGACTGGGGAATGGAATTCCAGAGGTTGGGGGCAGAGTGGTTGAAGGCTCTCCCACCAATAGTGGGGCGGGTTGGTCGGGGTCGTGGAGCAGGCCAGAGCCAGCTGAGCGGAGGGAGCGGGCGGGTTGGTAGAGGGTTAGGAGGTTGCAGAGGTAGGGTGGGGCGAGGCCATGGAGGGCTTTGTGGGTGAGGACCAGGATCTTGAACTGGATCCTCTGAAGGATAGGGAGCTAATGGAGTCGGGCGAGAATGGGGGAGATGGGGTCACGGAGTTTGGTGCTGGAGAGGACACGGGCTGCAGAGTTCTGGATTATCTGCAGCCTGTGGGTGGAGGAGTTGGGAAGGCTGACAAGCAAGGCGTTTGCATAGTCGAGCCTGGAGGTGATGAAGGCATGAACAAGAGTTTCAGCGGCCTGAGGGGTGAGGTAGTGGGGGAGTCGGGCAATGTTACAGAGCTGAGGGAAGGCAGAGCGGGTCATGGCTTGGATGTGGGGAAAAAAAGACAGTTGAGGGTCGAACAAGACACCTAGGTTCCTGACTGGCTTGGTGAGTTGTAAGGTGCAAGTATGGAGGTTGATGTTCCCAGAGCCTGAGGTGCTGAGGCGCTGGTGTGAGCCAATCAGGAGGGCCTCAGTCTTGTTCACATTCAATTGTAGGAAATTTGCCTTCATCCAGGACTTGATGTCCGACAGGCAGTCTGTCAGGACAGCAGTGGTCCTGGAGTTGAGGATGGAGGCAGCAAGATAGAGTTGGGTGTCATCCACATACATGTAGAAGTTGACCCCATGTCTGCGGATGATGTCACCAAGGGGGAGCATGTAGATATTAAAGAGGAGAGGGCCAAGAACAGAGCCCTGGGGGATGCCAGGTGTGACAGTGCGGGGGCTGGAGGAGAAACCGTTAGAGGCAACGAAGTGGAGACGGTGAGAGAAATAGGAATCGAACCAGGCAAGGGCAGATCTGTGAAGATTGAGTAAAGCAGAGAGGTGATGTATGAGGATGGAGTGGTCGACAGTGTCGAAAGCGGCAGAGAGGACAAGGAGGCAGAGGGAGCCCGGATCACAGATGTTCAGAATGTCATAAGTGACTTTGACCAGGGCTGTTTCTGTGCTGTGGGCAGCGAGGAAGCCGGATTGGAGGGGTTCAAAGAGGGAATGGCGAGAGAGAAAGGAGCGGAGCTGGGACGTGGCAACTCGTTCCAGGACCTTTGATAGGAATGGGAGGTCAGAGGTGGGGCGGTAGCTGGAGAGGAGGGATGGATCCAGGGAAGGTTTTTTCAGGATGGGGTTGATGACGGCTGTTTTTAGGAGGGTGGGAACTGAACCGGTGAACAGGGAGAGGTTGATGACATCGGATAGGAGGGGGGCCAGAAGGTGGAGCTGGGAGACGAGGAGAGAAGTGGGGATGGGATCAAGGGAGCAGTTATTTATGTACTGCTCTGGTATGCTAATATGAGTACATGACAATGCTGTATATTTCTGCGATGACAGCGCTTTATTATTTCACATAACTTATCCACACAGATCATAAACCTTACAGAGTGTTCAAAACCAAACTTGGCAGATGTTAGATAAAGGCACTATTATATTCTCTTGCAATAACACAACGTTACAACTTAAGCCAATTAGTCACCAATTGATGGGTTTTCAATGATTCAGGTGTGGATTCCACCCACATGCCTTTCGATTTTGATCAGGCAGATTTGAATGAATCGGGAAATTAGCTGTTTTTGTTCTCCTTTGTATGTGCGACAGTCTGACTCAGTTGGTTGCACTCTTCTCTGAATTTGAAGGCTGTGGGTTCAAGCACCTTTCGGAAGTTTGAACTCATATTGTCTAGGCTGGCATTCTAATGCATGTCTCGGAGCGCACTGCATTGTTGAAAGTGCTGTCCTTCGGATGAGGCATTAAAATGAGGTCCCATCTGCCTGTTCAGGTGGACATTAAAGACTATTCCAAAAAATTTCTCCCAGTGTCCTGGCCAACAATCCCCCAGATAAAATTAATCATTTACTTAACGAGTGTTTGTTGGACATTACGGTGTGCAAATTGACTGCCACATTTTCCTACAAATACACAGTTACTAAACTTTACAGTATATCCTGTGAAGACGATCTTCAGACATGAGGCACTTTATCAAGTGCAAGGATTTGTTTAAATACAGTTCCACTTTTGTGAGCCTGCCATACACTTGAAATGTTTTTTTTTCCTCCCAAATCAATTTATTTACTAGTTTATCACATCCTGAAAGATGTTACCTCCATTTGTAAACAAATTAAATTGTTATCGAAGATTGATGTTATCTTAATCCATCAATGAGTTACGAACCTGTTCTTATGGTTTATTCAATGCAGAAGCTAAGCATATCAGTATAAGTTTAAGATTTAATTTTGTACTTAGTTGCAATGGTCTTTGTTTATTTCAGTCCCTAGAGAATGTAATGCGTCACCCAGAGGAAAATCGAAATCAAATCCGTGAGTTAGCACAGACACTGACTGATGGCGAGATCTTGGATGAGCTGATCAATGAAAAGCTGGAGATGTTTAACACTCGTTGGGAGGAGCTCTTACAACAGGTAAGAGTAGTGGTCCATTTCATGTTCAAGTCACCGTATTTATGTACACATTCTTAAGAATATCTTATAGAAGATTAGGAATTGGGAAGTGTGCTAAATACATGTTGCTCATCAGGTTTCACAATTGAACTGGTTAACTTGACCAGGGCTAGTTATGTTGGCCTGAGAATCTTTAACAGGTGTATATCAGTAGTGTATGTGTCCTAACCAAATTCAAAGAATGTAAACATATATAATGCAGTAAAACCAGACAACATACACCCAAGGATCCTCAAGGAAATGCATCCAAGAAATAGACGGGGCTCTTGTTAATATGTTAGGAGCTTTGTAAATACTAGAGCTGTACCGGAAAATAATAAATGCCCCAATTAATAATTTTACTTTATTCCAAAAAGCAGTCGAACATCAGCTTGGAAATTCAAGTGCAGTTAGCTGAGCATCTGTAGTGGAACTATCTACTTGAGTACATGAAACAAGATAATATCAATATTCAGTATTATCTAACCCTGCAGGCAATGTAAACTGTAGGCAATGTGTATTTAGAAGCAATAGGTCATGCTTCCTAAATCTATTGCAGTTGGTGGAGAATTAAGTGAGATAGTGTGTAATGGCCACATTTGGCCCAATTATTCTCATCCTTTCGGAATACCAACCCTGCAATCTTCATAGTACTTCAACTGTTTCGTAAATGAGATCAGCATACTGACCTCAACCACTCTTCCTGGTAACCCTTTCCAGCTGTTAATTAACTTCTGAGTAAAGAAATACTTCATCATAAGAAAGTGCTGTCCTGAAACAGCCCTTTACAACCCTAAACCTGTGCCATTAATTGTCCAAACTCTTAAACTGTCTTCAATAGCCTAAGTGACGGCAAAATGCTCATCCCATCTAATGTAAGGTGGATTGCAATGTAAGTTTGGAGGTTCTCAAAGTCAATGTCTTTATTTGCAGACCTTTTAGTAAGGCTGTATTGAGTTGGCATTGGTTTTATTTGTTCACTGTTTCAGTATTTAATGAATTATGATTTGCCGATTCAACCCCAGTTGATAATTTGAATTACAAATATACTGCTCAGTAGTAAACCCATATATCTTCTTCAACATTTCAGTCAGACCTTTCTTGTGAATTGCTTTATAATGCTCAACTTTATCCATGGCAACTTGGATTGATGATTTATGTAGATTAATTACTGATGCACTTTAACAAAAACTTGTATAAATAATCAGTGACTTCCCTGATCCTCTTGTATTGGTCTGATGTGTAGTTTGTAACCCTCCATTTATCTTTGCATTGCCTCCAGTAGTTGTGCATTCAACTACTGCACTTATTTGAATAACAAACATTTTCTCAAGAGAATGTTTGGTTGTAAAATGCCTATTTTAAAGGAAAATAATTTGTTCTTGTCTTTGTCAATTTACACTATTGGAAGATGAATACAAAGCCAAAGAAAATCTTAATTTTTCAACCTGGCTCAGTGGTAACACTCTCAACTCTGAGTCAGAAGGTTGGGTGTTCAAGCCCCATGTTAGGACTTGGAATCACATAGTCGAAGTTGACACTCCAATACAGTGCTGGGGATGTGCTGTATTGTTGGAGGTGCCATTCTTTGGATGAGATGTTAAAGATCCCAGTCTAAAAAGTCTGCGGTTCAGGAGAATGTTGAAGATCTCATGGCACTATTTGAAAAGAGAAGGGAGTTTCTCCCGGTATCTTGGCCAACAATCCCGCAGTAAAATTGGTTACTCACTTCATGGCTATTTGTGGGACATTGCTATGCTCAACTGATTGCCATGTTTCACCCCCAAAATTCTTGATCACTGCACTTTACAGTAGATCCTGTGAAGAGTCTCAGTGATGTGATAAGGCGCTATATCAAATACAAAGATTATTATTATTTATTATTCCCTTTAACTGTACATTTTGGTGGAGTCCTGTAGCGCAGTGGTTAGCGCACTCACCTCGCAAGCAAGAGCCCCGGCAGGGCAAAATGTTGAGCAAGTTTCCTTACTCCACACGCCTCTGTTTACCTAACAGTAAGTAGGAACCCTGTTGTTAGTTGATAATAACCCCTCAAAAAGAAACAATAATAATTTGGTCACTCAGTCCACGACTGTTTGTTTGACACTACTGTGTGCAACTTTCTGTTGTGTTTCACTCACAAATATACAGTCAATTCACTTTATAGTATATTCTTTGAAATATCTAGAAGACATGAAAAGCTATATCAAATGCAAGGATTATTATTATTATCTGTACTGTTTCCAATGAAGTCAATGCTGGGAATTGGAATACTTTGATCTGCATGCGGTGCAAGTGCAAAAAAAGTTGTTCATGGCAGAAATACAACAAGTGAATCTTGATCTTAAATACATGTGTTTAACACTACTGCACAGGAATTCTGCTTCCCATGTGATAATCGGACTTTGATCATGTTGCAGCATGTGTCTCTTAGATCGACACATGCCCATCCCAATACCAATAAGCACGGCTGTTGTAATTTCCAGAAATGAATAATAATAATAATCCTTGCATTTGATATAGTGCTTTTCACGTCTTCGAGACGTCTCAAAGCACTTCACAGAAGATACTGTAAAGTGAATTGACTTTATATTTGTGGGCGAAACATGGCAGCCAATTGTGCACAGCAGTGTCCCACAAACAGTCGTGGATTGAATTGACCAAATTATTATTGTTTTTTTTCTTGAGTGATTATTATCCGCCGTGTGGAGTAAGGAAATGTGCCCAAGGTTTGCCCTGCCGAGAATTGAACCCAGGTCTCTTGCTTGCAAGTACTCTAACCACTGAGCTACAGGACCATGTTCAATACCATGTTAGAAACCATGGACAGAAATTCATTAAATACCATTGCCTGAAATTCTGACTGGTTACCTACAAAACCATTTAGGTTTCAAATTTAGGATCGGACAGAATTGTGGAAAATTCTTAAATTCATTCTGAATTTGGAAGCTGTTTTTCTGTACTTCTTAGAAAGAACTTGCTTCAAATTAAAAATGAATTTTAAGAGCTTTCTATCTGATCTGTATTCTGTATGATCTAAAATTTTAGGACAATATGGTCTTGTAGGCTAAGATTAATTAGAAGTAACTCTTGCTTTCTCCTCAGAATTTTCCCAACTAATTTCATGTAGAAACCTTAAATCTGGCATAGAAAGGAAGAACTATAATCCCATTAATCTGGGCAGGATTTTTTAATATGGGACTAGCTAGATGGACTTCAGGGTCATTTGTGGTTCTGGACATTCCTGTGTTTCTGTGATATATATTTAGATTTTGACAATTATAAGACAAATGATCTAATCCTCTCTGCCTTTCACACGTTAATAATTCCGATGTGATTTGTTCATTCTTCACCCATGATATTAATCATAAAACTATTAATTTATATTTAGAACATATAAATATCAAGCCAGGGATTTTAAAAAGATAGAAATTTCCACCGTATTTATTTTGATTAAATGCCAACTAAATTGAATGCCAGATCCATATATTGCTGGAAAGGTGCTAATTTAAAAATTATATTAAAAAAAACTGAAAGACACTAAACATGTTGGTATGGTGCAGCAGTAACACTAATGTTGTAAGGGAAAACTGCCAAAGGCTGTTTTACAGGTTACAAAACTAAATTATTATATATTCCCCTTATGAGCTGAATCAAATTACTTCAGCAATTCTACATTTTAATGCACAATACAGTGATCTGAATACACTACATAATTAGAATACTGAATATACTACATAATCAGAATCAGTTCCAGAATTATTGGCTGCTACATTTTCCCTGTGTGTTCAGCAGTGAATTGACTTAATTTGCTTCAGTGACCAGGTTGGAGTGTGTACAGTACCGATGGATCCACAAACAATTCTAGAAGTTATTACTGAAATTGCATAAATGTGGTGCATCAGAATGAGAAATATCAGTCTTAAAAAAGATGATTGCTAATTCATCTTTCAGCTTGTTTTTACTGACTTCAAGCTGACTGTATTTTTGTTAAGTGGGATGTTTGACTTAGTCGCTCTGCTTCAGTGCTGTAAAGCAAAATAGTTGTTGGTGTTTTTCCATTGGCCATTATGACTGTCTTTATTCCAAATTAGAGGCAGTCTAGCCTCAGGCAATTTTTACATTAGATGTTTATGTGATAACACTAAAAATTCCACTCTGGTGAAATCAAGTGGACAGAATGATTTACCTAAAAGCATCCCGGAACTCAATATGGCCCTTACTACTAAATACAAGATCTATAGTATTAGAGAAGCAGCAAGAGTTGACCAATTGTTACATTGATTTCTCTTTTTACAATGTTCAGTATTAGGGAACAATCAATAGAAAATACTACTGTGTGAGGTTTCAATTGTGATTTGTGTTAGATCTCTTAGAAAAAGTATCTTCCTTGTGAAAAATCAAATTGGGTCTTTTTCTCTTAATCGTGAAACCTCAGATAACGCAGGATTGTCTGTGCATTCAATGCAGCACTTAACTTTGGCGTCAGTTGAATTCAAGATAAAATTCTTAGCATCTTCCTCTTTAATTCTTTGTAGATTCTATTATATAATAAAGCTCTTACATCGCAAGCCACGTGGAGAAATAAAGTAAGACAAGTAACTGAGGGCATTGAAAATATTTTACAGTACTGAATCATTGAATTCAAAGGCCATTTAGGGGAAAGGGGAATTATTACATGCAAGAAATCATCCAGTGCATATGAACCAATAATCCTGCAACAAACACAATCATTTTACTTGAATAAATTGAGAATCTTCATCCCTTAAGCCCTTTTGGTAGAAAACCTAATTGACAACACTGGAATTGCTATTCTTTCTGCCTATCGTGTAAACCCTTAAAATAGCCAAACAAAATCTCTTTAACCTTTTTTGTTTTCATCCCACCAAACCATCGTCAGTTTCAGAATCTGTGTAGTTCCCTGAGACTGATCAGCTTTTACTAACTGTGACCTTGTCATTTTGGGGCTCTTCTGATCCGACAAACTAGATAAGAGTAGGAGACCTCAGATCAGCAGTTTACAGCAACAGCACTATGATATGTGTGGATTAGTGATTATCTGTACTTAGGGAAATTTTCAATATTGTTGTGTGTGCCAGTCCTATCTGCATAGCTCTGTGGAATTTCTCATTCATCTACAAATGGAGATGAACCACAAGCAGCTAAGAAATGTCTTTTATCAAAAGGTCTTTAAAAGTGCTGCTTATTATTCTTCTCCACAAGATCTTCGAGCTTTGCTAATGCAAGATATAAAGCCAAGAAATGCTAATGACTTTTTTTTCCCCCTGAACCTTTTAGGCTGGAAGAAGACAGCAAGTCCTTGTGCAGAGTATTCAGTCGGCTCAGGAGACTGACAAAACCTTGCGTTTAATCCAAGAATCTCTCGTGTTGATTGACAAACAGCTGACGTCATACATTGCTGACAGAATTGATGCAGCCCAGGTCCCTCAGGAAGCTCAGGTATGCCATAAATCTACTTCAAAACAATCTGTACAAAAGAACATTTGTTGCAATGTTTACGAGCTGAGGAACTTTGTTCCTATTGTTAATGTAAAACTTAACAGCTATATTACTTTATAGATTGATTGTGTACAAGAATTTGGTGAAGTAGACAATCTTCATTGGTTCAACTTTCACTTCACTGACAACATCCAAATTCACATCTCTACCTCTACGCTTGATTCCAGTTTCACTGATGTTCTGACCACCCTTCTGTCAGACATCAAGTCTCAAATGAGTCTCATCCTTTTTCAGCTAAACATAGGCTAGATGGAAGCCTTTCTCCTTCGTTCCCGCCAACATCTCCTTGCTTCTAGGTCTGACTTTACAAACCTCCCAAGCCTTGCTTTCAAACTCATTGAGCCAGTATGCAACTTTGATGTTCAATTCGATTCCCAGCTCTCTCTCCTCCCTCACATCTGGTTCCTGACTAACATTGCTTTTTTGAATCTTTGCCATATCATCTGACTCTGTCACTATCTCACAACTAACATTGCTTGAAGCCTCATTCATGGCTTAGTCACCTCCCCATCTCAATCTTCCTCTAGCTCCAGCTCATACAAAAATCACCTACCCATATCCCTGGCCTTACAAATTTTTTGATGTCTATCACACCTATACTATCCAGGCTCCACTGGTTCCTTGTCTCCCAACTGATTAAGTTCAAGATCCTCACCCTCACCTACCCATCCCTTCAAACCTTTATTCCACCAAACTTCTTTGATCATCAACATGGTTCTTCTGCTCATCCCCTCCATTCAGCAAACTCATGCCTGCTGCGTGCATCCTTTGCCTTCTTCTCCCCCACCCCCAACATTGGCAGCTGTTACCTCCCCCCTCCACCTCCCCCCCTCCACACACACACAAACACCACATGGAGTTCCCTCCCTCAACCCTTGGCCTTGCTCTTTCTCTGCCTGTCTCCAAAACCTGCTTCTTTGACTGTGACTGGGTTGTGAAGGAACACATATTAGATGAGGTCCAAACTGTCTTAGGTCAATTTTGGTAACTTTCCTTTCGCAACTTACTGTATACAGTGGAAGCCTGTAATAATGCACTTTGTTATAACATGGATTCCCTTATAGCACAATCCTGCTGTGAACTTCAACATTTCAACACACTGAAACAGGGCGAAATTCTGGGTCATCCGGTCATTTTCTGTTGTCTTTCTATGCATGTGTAGTGAATGCAGAAGTGTTGACCAGCAATCATGCCCTGTTACAACCCAGGTTGCAATTTTATAGTATAAACTACTGTGTTATAAAGAGGCTCTTCTTTATATTGTGTTTTTAATTGAACAAGGGATCTTTCAATCATGCTTGTATATCTATTCATCTGCTGCAGTAAATAGCAGTGTTATGTTCAAGATGCATGTTGTTTTCTTCGCTGTAGTCTGTGCAGTTTGTTCAAACCACAAGGGCATTTTTCATGATGAATATATATCTGTGCACTTTCAGCATTTTCCCGGCCCTTGAAATTATCCAAAGAATCGTGGGTATAACCTGATCCAGAATACAGATGAATTTGAAATTACATATTGACAGAGTATGAAGATCTGCTATTTTTATAGATGGTTGGCTCTGGCACAGCACATATTTGGCACTGGTAACTAAGGGATATAATGTTTCTGTGGCTATATATAGCTCCATCTCTTTCCCTCTTGACCCTGCTCTTGTTTCTCACTATGCCAGCAGATATGAGAGCTTTGTTAGCTGCTTGTCTTAAAGCTCTCATCTGTGGTCATTAAAATGTATGTGTGAATTAAATAGCTAATATGTTGATCATGAAATGAGAGTCTGGTTGTATGGTTCACCATTCCTGATGTCAATGGGGCTGCTGCTGTAGGTGAGGGAATTGGCAACCGGGAGTAAATGATGGTAAGAACCAGGGATGTTGTGCAGCTTCAAGTAGCTGAGTACAGAAAGGCATTATCATACTGTTGGGGGCTGGGCACTGACTGCCCTTTCAGCTGGGATATCGTGCATTGTGTTGGTGGACTAGGAGAGGAAATGGCAGAAATGAGCAAGGAAGACACATTAAACTCAATTGTTGAGAGATTTATTGTCAAGTTTAATAATGCAATGCTCGTAAGCAATGCGCACATTCTATTTCCTGCAGCAACTTCATGTTCTGTCTGAGAACTGCCTCGAACAATTACATCCATGTTTGTGCATTTTCACATATTAATAGTTTAGTTCTCCAGCATTCTTTATTGGTGCTACTCTGTGATTCTGAGATAGGAAGCAAGGAGCTGAAGATTAAGGATGTTTCTTTTCTCGTTTCCCCCTCCTATTGTACATCTTGTTCCCTTGCTTGCCCCCAAATAACTGAGCTGTGCTTTCATAAACTGTGAAACAAGTTTGAATGGCAGTCTCGACTGAGATTAGAAATCAGAGCTTCTGGAGGAGCACGTAGATCTACGCTGCGATTTACCAAACCAACTCTTTTGACTTCTCATAGCAGCATCAATCAGTGTTCTGGCCTCTACCATCCTTCTGCATTGTCTTTAAGATCTGGGTAGCCCCCTTATGTTGTGAAAGTCAGATCTCAAGTATTTATTACTTGAGATAAGCTTGACCAGAGCACTGTATATAAGATAAACATGACTTCTGGCAATAAAGATTAGGAGTAGGAGTAGGCCATTCAGCCCCTCGAGTCTGCCCCGCCATTCAATAAGATCATGGCTGATCTATTCTAACTCCACCTACACGCCTTATCCCCATATCCCTTAATCCCTTTATCCACAAGAAATCTATCAATCTCAGTCTTGAATATGTTCAAGGACTGAGCATCTACAGCCCTTTGGGGTAGGGAATTCCATAAATTCGTTACCCTCTGAGTGAAGAAGTTTTTCCTCAACTCAGTGCGAAAGGGCTTACCCCTAATTTTAAGACTGTGATCCCTGGTTATAGTTTCTCCAACCAGGGGAAAAAGTTTTCCACTATCTATTCTGTCATGCCCCTTAATAATCTTATAAGTTTCTATAAGATCATCTCTCATTCTTCTATATTCTAGAGAATATAAGCCTAAATTGCTCAACCTATCCTCATAACTCATCCCCCTCATCCCAGGTACCAACCTAGTGAATCTATGTTGTATCCCCTCCAAGGCGAGTACATCCTTTCTTAAATAAGGAGACCAAAACTGCACACAGTACTCTAAGTGCAGTCTCACCAGGGCCCTATACAGTTGCAGCAAGACTTCGCTACTCTTATATTCTAACCCTTTTGTAACAAATGCCAATATACCGTTAGCCTTTTTAATTGCTTGCTGTACCTGCAAACTAACTTTTTGTGACTGGTGTACAAGGACACCCAAGTCCCACTGAACGCTAACACTATCTAGTCTCTCCCCTTCTAAAAAATAATCTGCTTACTGTTTTTGCCACCAGTTTATGGTTTTCAGCCTCTTAAAACTATCCAGATCTTGCTAATGTCTTAGCACCAGAACTCAATGTGAACACTGCTCTGGTCTTACCTGAAGTGACTATGTACAGTTGTGCCCATCATATACAGTCTTGGCATTGAAAGTGGTGCAATGAAGAACAACTGAATGGTTATTTGGGACGAGACACCTGAGTTATGTGAAAAGGACAAGAGGCTGGGAATATTCAAACTGATTATGATAAGTTTCAGAGAAGATTTTAGTGAATGGTTTTTGACTCTAAATGTCATAGATAAACTGGATTCTAATATAATTAAGTTTAAATACGATCAGAAATTCACAAAGTTTGGATGAAGAAGGAAGGCCCTTCGGTCCATCTGATCTCATCCTTCCAGAATGCCCACCATCTTCCCATTCCAGGATCAAGCTTTTTTTTAATTGGTTCCAGTGGTTTGGCCTCAACTATCCTTTCTGGTAAACCCAGGGAGCACAGAGAGAGGGAACTAAACAAACGGGATGGATTTAATTAGTTTACAAAGAGTAGTGCATGTGTACAATGGACTACCACTGAAAACAGATGATGTCAAAATGGAACCAGGTAGCTTTTTGGCAAAAAAATCGATTGTGTAATAGAGCAGTACATTACTTTATTTTGTTTATCCCAGGCAGATGGACCTCAATATTTTTTTTTCTGTCCTGTCTATTCTTGTATACCAATAATTAATCAGAGGTAAGTTGTGTAATTTTAGTAGTAAAAGAAACCCTCAAAATTTAAGTTAGCAACTCCACATTCCATGATCTTAGAACCATTTACGTTGGATTTTGCTGAGCCCTAATTATTTGAATAAATATAAAGCTGGACCATCATAAAGCTCTATTCAACTTTGATTTTCAAGCAGTTTTCAGAGGTGAGCAGATATTGTGCAATTTTTTTTTTTTTTTTCTCTTATCACATGTGATAAAGTGGCATCTTTACGCCACTTTTTGCAATTTCCTGGAAATGCCTGCTTAATACAATCACCTGTGGTGTTCAATGTCTTCTGTCAGTTGTTGCTTTGTATTTTTACAGCAACTATACACTTTAGAATGTGCTTCACACACCACCTTGTGGCTTCGTGAAGTAAACATTGGGAAATAGCCGTGCTACAATTGAGTTACACGTCCATTTTTACTGTGGAAAATGTTGTGTTTAGTCAAGAAGTAGAAAGTGAGATTGGTGTTCGAATGGAGTTCAAGAGGCTCAGTGTAAGATGTAAGACTCCTCCTACTCTTCACAAACCATAGTCTCTGCCCTTGTCTAGGTTGTGGAAAATAAATTAGAAAGCACCCTTTTGATTATTATTCAGTGACCTCTCCTGGAAAGTGGGCATGTGTGGATATCAGAGTGGGATAGATTGTCCCCATGGGTCATGTATTGAGAGTAGCTGCTTGGGCAAAATATTGGATGTGACTACCACCCAGGGAACTCTGGTTTGATATGAGTTGGCACCCTCTCAAGAGCAGGAAATCTACTCCTAAAGGGCAGAGATTGCAACCTGGGTTACCACATTGGTCTTTCATTTCTGGATCCTTGAATT